AGTGCCCGTGTGAGGACAGCTGGTGGCTTCCAGACCACTGAGCCCACTTGGCTTTCGAGAGAAACGACTGAGTTCCCTTTGACGGCCCTCCTTAGCCACTCAAGGACAGAATGGCCGGAGAGCCTTTCCGCCAGCGCCAGCTCCCCAGATTTGCAGATGAGCCACCGCTGCCAGCCACCTGCAGCGTCTTCTCCCTCCCCACCTCTGCCTTGTCCCCTGCCTCTGGCCACTATCTGATTCCCTTGCACGTGAGCAAACAGTGGCTATGTAAACAAATAAACAAAACAAAACAAATTAAAAAACCAATAGCTTTCAGGAAGCAGTCACTCCCCTACAGCAATGTCACCACCCCATTCAACAGACGTGGAAACCAAGGCGTGGAGGGGCTGAAGGACAGGGCCAGGCAGCTGGCCATGACATGCTGCCCTTGTGTCGTTCTGATCCCCGAGCCCCCTTCACGCCAGGGGGTCTCTTCCCAGACCCCTCCCCGGGCAGGGGGCTCTGTCCTGACCTCTCTGCTGGGCCAGCCCCTGGTCCCACACTGGCCTCCCAGGTCTGATTCACCCTCGTAATCCATCAGCGCCCTTGTAAGACAGAAACTGCCCCGATTTCAGAAAACTGGCAAGTTACCTTATTGAGCAACGGCAAGCCACCGCAGACACTCCTGGGCGCCCCCAGGGATTCATGCACCCTAGACACTCCTGAGCCCCCTCAGGGACTTATGTCCAGCCCACGGTGGTGGGCTCCTGAGGGTCCCTGGCTGGGCCTCCCCTCCCAGCCTTTGCCCACACAGGTTTTCACCTCTCAGCCTACTCACTCCCTAGACCTGCCTCCTCCAAGAAGCCACCCTGACTGCTCCAGTTTATCTGTGTCATCCCAGGAAGGCTTGTCCAGAGCCAGCCCCAGGGTCTTCAGGACCAGTCTGTTCCTGCCCTGTGGGCAGCAGCTCTTCGGGTAGGTGGCCAGGCCTCCTTCTGCAGAGACTTTTGTGCCCATACTGGAGACCTCCTGGTTAGATGGAAGTGAAGGAGCCAGGTTCCAGGTGAGGGCTTGGCTCCAACCGTGGGCACCGGCCCTGCCATCATAGTGGGGGTCACGAACCACCCCCACCAGAAACCCCTGGGACGCTTGTTGAGAATATAGATTCCAGGGCCAACCCCAGACCTAGAGCATCAGACCATCTAACTGGACCCAGGAATGCACATTTTAACCAACTTCTCCACGTGCTAAGACAGTGTCCTTGGCGGAGCTCTTTCTAGCTTTCTGTGGAGACCTAGCCACTTGCAGCGTCTGTTCCCAACACACTCGCCAGGGAGGTTCAGAGTCAAAGCAGCGTCAGGCGCGGAAAGACAAGGGCTCCACCTCCGGGTGCTGTCAGGTTTGAGACAAGGCTTGCAGGGTTATCAGAGACCCAGAGGGGAGAGAAGATGGGCCAGGGTGGTGTGTCTTTTGAGGAAGTCATGCCCTAGCTGGGTTTTGTAGTGTGTAAAGGGGTTTTCCAGGGAGATGGGGGTCAGGGAAACAAAGTGAGTCTCCATTTTAGATGGAGCAGAGAAAAAGCCACACAAGACAGGGGTGGGATGAGGGCTTCGGGGGCAGGTGGATGACGGATTCGGGGGCAGGTGGATGATGGTTTTTGGGGTAGGTGGATGATGGTTTTGGGGGTAGGTGGGATGAGGGCTTTGGGGGTAGGTGGATGATGGTTTTGGGGGTAGGTGAGATGAGGGCTTCGGGGGTAGGTGGATGAGGGCTTCAAGGGTAGGTGGATGATGGTTTTTGGGGTAGGTGGATGATGGTTTTGGGGGTAGGTGAGATGAGGGCTTTGGGGGTAGGTGGATGATGGTTTTGGGGGTAGGTGGATGAGGGCTTTGGGGGTAGGTGGATGATTGTTTTGGGGGTAGGTGGGATGAGGGCTTTGGGGGTAGGTGGATGATGGTTTTGGGGGTAGGTGGATGAGGGCTTCGGGGGTAGGTGGATGATGGTTTTGGGGGTAGGTGAGATGAGGGTTTTGGGGGTAGGTGGATGATGGTTTTGGGGGTAGGTGGATGAGGGCTTTGGGGGTAGGTGGATGAGGGCTTCAAGGGTAGGTGGATGATGGTTTTTGGGGTAGGTGGATGATGGTTTTTGGGGTAGGTGGATGAGGGCTTTGGGGGTAGGTGAATGATGGTTTTGGGGGTAGGTGGATGAGGGATTTGGGGGTAGGTGGATGAGGGCTTTGGGGGTAGGTGGATGATGGTTTTGGGGGTAGGTGGGATGAGGGCTTCAGGGGTAGGTGAATGATGGTTTTCGGGGTAGGTGAATGACGGCTTTGGGGGTAGGTCTTTGAAGGTTAGGGACCACCTGGCTGTAGCTGGGAGACAGAGTGGACCCTCTAAGGGCACCAGGAGGCTGCAAGCTTTCCATGCACCTGCAGACAACCGCCCGCCTGAGTTGGGTCTGGTCCCAGAGAAGACACGTTGTGGTGCCTAGTGGTACCAGTTCAGACTGCACAGAGATGGGGGCTGGTGGTGATGGCCATGAGGGCTGAGCCCTGTGGTCCGCCCCCATCTCTCTGGTCTACCTGTGGCTAAACAAGGTACTGTGGGATCCTGGGCAGCACTGGTATGAGCGGGCAACCCCTGGCGGCTGGCGTGACCAATACCCCGACCCAGCCTGGATTCCAGGTGGGGGCCGCTCTGTGCCCTGGGTGGAGGGCAGGCCCGCCTGGGACAGGGCTCTTTGCCAGCCCCACACTGCCATCTGCCTGCCAGCCTCAGAACTACAGCCTGGCACCAGGCTCAGCCTTGTCTGGACGCATCAGGGCCTGGCACACAGATGAGAAACCAAGACCCAGAGGGCACCCGAAGCTTCCCCAAACACAGATTGCAGCCACCAAGCTGGAAGCCAGGCCTGCGCGGGCCCAAGGCCTCAGCTTATTTTTACCCTGGGCACAGTACTCAGGGTAACAGAGAGCCAGTGAGGCTGGGCAGAGCCCCTGAGGATGCAAAGGTCTCTCTGAACCCCCTCCTCCCCGGTCCCTCCCTAGCGGAGGCAGGAACCTGGGCAAGCCCAGACCCTGGAGGCTTGGGGTCCCCTGGGAAGGTCGGGACAGGAGGTGGCAATTTCTGCTTCCAGCGGACCCCGGTTCTCCCTTCCATCGTTCCCTAGTCCTGCGGGGCTGCTGTCTACAGTGCTGGATGTGGGGTTGGCCAGACACCGGCACAGGGCCAGGGACCCCTGATCTTGGCCATCCTTGCTGGCAAAGCCTCATCAGAGCCCCCAAGGCTGGCTCCTATCTGTGTGGGCACCATCCCTTTGTCCCTGCTTACCAGTCGCTGGGACAGGATGGGCCCTCTTTGGGGATTTGGGACTGCCTGTTTCTGGGTGAACTGAGGCCAGCACCCCAGACTGCCTGGGCCTGAAGGCTGAGGGGTGGGGATAGGCGGAATTCCAGGACCCTGGGCCACGCTTAGCATGGTTCCGATGCACCTCTGAAGGAAGAGCAGAAAGAGAATGCCCTGCTTTGCAGATTATCTTGTGCCCATGAACGACAGAGGGCCCACGTCCCACCCCCTCTGCACTCCCATAGGTTTTAGAGCCTGGGAAGCTGGGTTTGCCCTGGGAACCCACCTAGAATGACTCAGCCTTGGCAGGGCAGGCATTCCCTGGCTGCCAACTGTTATACGTCTGGTAGGTCTTGAGTGGAGTAGGACACTGGCTGGGAGTCCTCAGCCCGCGGTGGCTCCAGGAATGCCATTGGGCAGAGCTCACTCACCTCATGGCTCCACCAAGAGGCTTTAAAGGCTCTCTGACCTCTGCTCTGGGATGGGGTTGGGCCTGGGGCCACACTCAGGCCAACATTGTCCCTATTGGCTTGGGGACATAAGGAGGCTAAGAGGTTGTGATAGGGCTGCCCAGATAGAAGCCCTGTGGGGAGGCTGGACAAGCAGGGGAAGCTCCAGGGTGAGGGTGGGCTTCCTCCCTCTACAGAAGCAGGCAGTGGCACCGCAGGCGGCCCCAGTGCCCTCCCCATGCCAGGGCACCTGCAGCCATACCTAGGGGCCAGTGGACAAATGAAGTCTCCCTGACACCCTTCCAGCTCTGCCACCCAGTCTGTCTCTGGGGACTGAGACTACATACAAAAGTGTCAGGCTCTGGGGGAGTGTGGACCAGCAGCCACGCTGCTGAAGCCAGCAGAGGAAAAGGGCAGGAAAGCGAGTGGGAGGGCCAGGCCATGGGCACCAAGGGACAAGGCCAACAGTGACCAGGGTCCATGGCAAAGAACTGTGGCCACTACCAGGCTCCACTCTGCTCCAGAAGGGATGCCATAGGCACAGGACAGGGCACACCCAAGACGTGGTACACCCGAACCCAAGAGGCAGGTGGGCAGAGGTCTCTGCCCAAACTGGCAGGGGTTGCTCTCTCTCCTGCCTGTATTGAGAACACACCGGGACATCCCCTGTCATGATCTCTGTGGGCAGGGATGACATTAAAAAGACTCCAAGTAAGAACTGATGGCCACCCCATCCTGGACTCCATGGGTGTGAATACTAGATACCTTCACTGTGAGTGTGAATACCCAACACCCTCACCCTGGGTATATTTGATACTCTTGCTGTAAGTGTGAACATCTGACATCCTCACCATGGTGTGAATACCTGACACCAGGAGTGTGAACATGACACCCTCACCGTGGTGTGAATATCTGACACCATGAGTGTGAACATTTGACACTCTCATGGGTGTGACTACTTGACACCCTTGCCCTGGCGTGAATATCTGACACCTTCTCACCATGAGTGTGAACATATGACACCCTCACCATGGATGTGGCTATTTGATGTCCTGATGGTGATGTCCTTATGAGGGGTATAAATATTCACTTGCAAAAGGGTCCAATCCCTGGTGACTCAAGGGGATGTGGCCTTGGCCCTCCAGACTTGTATTCCCCCTGTCCCCTAAACCCTAGCTGTCTGGCCTACCGGCTGCCCAGTGTGAGGTAGAGAAGAAACCTTTGTAACTCGAGTATAATTTGCTTTTTAATTAGAACGACGTGTGTAAATGACAGGATACCACCACCCTGCGCAGATGGCGGCCACAGAATACGCATCGAATTCATTCTGCCCAAGAAAGGGAGGGAGGGAGGACTCAGCAGGACAGTCCCCGCCCCCTTGGTCCTGCGAGTGATGGGGTCACCGACTGTCGGCCTGCACACGCCTCTTGAACGGTAAGCAGAGATCAGAAGCACAGCAGCAGTAATACTGGGTAAGTCCTTCCTTGCGTAAAACATCTGAATTAATTCATTGAAGGTATCAAAAATATACCCTGTAAACCAATACATCATTTACATCAGCCTTTCCTTCCCACCGCTGCGGCCACGCTGTGTGAAAAGTCCAGTCCTTGCAGCAGCCGTTCGCCCCAGGCCGCACCCTGCCCTTCTGTCTGCCCACCTGGCCTGACTTGGTTTCCAGCGATCTCGTTGGCTGGGGCAGCCTGTGGGGCCCGGAACGAGCGCACTGGGGACTGGACAGGGCCTGCGTCCATCTGTCCAGAGCACTAAGCGGGGTGGGAGGCGGAGGGACGGCGCGGGGGCTGCGAGCTCAGCTTAGACTTTGGTTCCAAATGCATTCGGGGGAGGCAGTGGCATGGAGGTGCATGGTCATCCTGCTTTGGGTCCCTGGCCGCCCCGGCCGCCTGCGTGTGGCTGCCACACGCCTGCCGTGCCCCCTCCCCGGCCCCCTTCCCTCCCTTCTCGAGCACCAGGTAAACATCCCCTGAGTAAGGTCACTGCACAGGGCCAGCCCGGGGCGGGAGTCTTAGTTAAGGCTTCAGACAGGCAAGGATGCCGGCTCTGGACGGACAGATGGACAGAGGCGCAGGCAGACTCAGGGGCTCCTTCCTCGGCGCGGGGAGTCGGCAGCCGCCCCACTCCTGCCAGGCTGGTCCTGTGGCTCGCTGGGACCCGACACTGCCCGTCCCCCCGTTCGGAGTCACTCGCTGTCAGAGAGCGTCTCGTACTGCGAGCAGAGCAGTGGCTTGGGCTCCTCATCCCAGGCGTGGTGGGGGCCAGCGAGGGGCCCGCTGCCCGAGGGGAGGCCCGGCGGGGGTGGGGAGGCCATGACACCCGCCTGCAGCCGCATGATCAGGGGGTTGTAGGGGAACGGCGTGGAACCTGCGCGGAGAAGTGAGATGTGTGAGCTGGGCAGCCCCCGCGGGCCGCCTGCCCACCACGCTGGGAACCGGGGTCGCGGCGCTGCTGTCCAACCGAACTGCGAAACGGCTCTCTTCACGTCTAACTTCCGTCCCCGTTCACACCCCGCCATCTTTGGCCTGGACTGTAGGGGTAGTGTCTTCACCGTCCCTCTGGTCTGTTCTCCCAGGGAGCCTCTGACCCTAAGTTAGATCAGCGTTTCCCTTCCGAAAGCCCTCCAGGGCTCTCACCATGCCTGAGGGAGTCCGGGGCCCCGTGCACGGCCCACCAGGCCCGAGGGATCTGGCCGGCCCTGTCACACCCTCCTCTGCCCGTGGCCCTGGAGGAAGCCTCCTGACCGTCCGTGAGCCGGGCTCGGCTGCCCAGGCCCCTGGACCTCGCTTCTGCAGACCAGGCCTGTGAGTTGGGCACTCAGCAGGCACTGGGCATTCAGTGCCCCGGCGGGATTCGCAGCCTGGTGTGGGGGAGCCTGGAGAGCCCAGCCCTGCCCCCGCCCGGTGCCCACCTGCGGATGAGGGCCGGTCCTCCCACACGCGGTTGGTGAGCGGCGTCCGGCGGTTGCAGTCTCCCTCCGAGTGCACTGAGGAGACGGAGGGTGGCCGGTCCCCAGATGCCAGGCCGGGGGCTGGGGACTTGGCTTTTCGGCTGCTGGGTCTGCCGGAGACCTTGGCCTTCCCACCGCTGCCTGCAGGAGACAAGATGGGAATGGACGGGTGAGGTCCTGCCACGGGCCCGCCAAAGAGGGAGGGAGCGCAGCGACAGGAACCCCCCCTCCCTGCCGCCCGCGCCAGCTGGGAAGCCAGGGTTGACCAGATGGCCAGACCCAGCTAAGAGCCTGGAATGTGGAGGCCGGGTTCTGCTGGGAGGGCTGGTGGCTGCACTGTCTGCTGTTCGCAGGACCCCTCCCTCCCCGCCGCTCCCTGGCTGTCCTCAGCGACCCCAGCCCCAGGGCCGCAACCCTGGGTGTGAAGCCTGGGCCTCCGGTTTGACTCTGAGCGCGGCCCCAGGACCGTGCCAAGGCCAGGCAGGCTCCAGGCCCCGAGCAGAGAAGTCAGGACCCCTGAGGCCGGGCCTGACCCCTGCGGAGGCCCCAGAAGCGTTTTGGGGCCCCAGTGTCAAGGCTGGACAGCTGCACCCAGATCTCTTTCCTCCGCTCCCTGCTCCCGTAGCGGGTACTGACAAGGGACCCAGGCAGACGGGGGGCTGAGCCCTGAGGCTCCAACTCCCAGGGTTGACGCAGGCCCTGGGCTCCTCCGCGCCAGAGTAAGGGCCAGCTGCGGACACACAGTAGGCCTGGCAGAGCTGTGCACAGGGCCTGGCTGCCATCCCTGTCCACGCAGCGGGGGTGGGCCTTCACTCCAGCCCAGTCTCCCCAAGGAGACAGCCGGGTCCCCGCACGGAGGAAGGCGGGAAGGCTGGGGGCGGACGGCAGTGTGGGTGTCGGAGGCAGGCGGCAGCACCTCGGGCCTAGTGGGCAGGGGGCCGCAGCTGGGGGAGCGGGTGCAGACACTCGGGGGTTCTCAGCCCAGCTTCAGATTAGCAAACTCCAGAATGAGGTCAAACAGGCACAAAAATAAAGTCACAAGCTCCAAAGCTCGAGGAGGGGATTGTCAGAGGAGTGCGGAAGAGTGAGGATTAATCACACTGGGGGTGGGGACAGACGGGGGGTGGGGACAGACAGGGGAGGGGTGGGGGTGGCCTGCAGACCTGGCGAGGTGAGTGTGTGGTCACTCCGTCCGTCAGCAGCGGTTATGGGCATAGCAGCAGGCAGGCTGGCACTGGCATTCAGAGGGTTAAAAGCATTGGCGCTGAGCGGCGGGGACTCTTCCCACTGGTCATATTTACCCATGAGTGCCTTTCTAATTATGGCCTCCAGCCCCATGTTGGTGCTGGCATGTTCCTGCACCGCCTGGCTTCTATAGGTCATAAGGCCTGGGAGAGAGACAGACAGACGGACAGACACATGGGGGCCGGGGAGGGGGAGCCAGAGGGGTGACGGAGAGAGAGAAGGGAGAGAGAGGGAAGGAGGAGGAGGAGAGAGAAATACACAGTGAGCACATTTTGGCAAAGCAACACCTTTATTTCCCTACCCCTCCCCACCCCTTTTTTCCAGCTGGGTGGAGATGAAATGGGAGAGGCTGGTTCCTTCTCCCTGGGGCCCCGGAAGCTCCTGGGCACTGCATTCGAGGTGGGGTGGGCGAGGTTAGATGCCCCTTCCTGCCCCTAACCTCATTCCTAGTCTGTCCTCTGGGAAATCATGAGCCCCCTCTGTACCCCTAATCCTAGCTGGGGCTGTTTTTTCTCTTTTTCCTTTTTAATCCCAAGTGGCCTTCACGGAGAGGGGGAGAGACCGGAGGGCTGTCCTGTTTGGGGAATGGACTCCTAGAAAACCAGAGCTGGGGGCTGGCGGGGAGAAGACCTTCTCTCTGGTCTGAGAGAGGAGGTGACCAGATGGTCCTCCCGCCGCCCTGCCTCCAGCTGTGCGGTTCGGGACGTGGGGCCCCCTGCCTCCCCGCCAAGCTGGGCTACTGTCCTCCCTCTGCCTCTCCCCACCCAGGAGCCGTGAGGAGAAAGAGGTGCAGAGACGGACGATGAGGGTGGGGTCGTAGCCATGCAGTTATGGTACGTGCAGGGAGAGGGCAGAGGTAGACACATCACGGCACCAGCCCGGGTCCGTCCCAGCTGGCCCAGCCGCCCCACCCCAGGGACAAAGTGGTCGGATCAACAAACCAGTCCCAAGTGGATGCTTCTGGAACACCCCGACAATTCCAGGAAAGCTCCCTCTCTGTTTACCAGTTTCCTTTCTCTTTTTTCTTTCTTGCGAACCACATGGACTTGGCGGGGGGAGGTGTGCAAACCCCCCACAGGTGCTGACTTTTCAGAACTTTTGTTTGTTAAACCAGAATTTGCTTTCAGAAGCCCCCAACGTATCCCTATCCCACCCCGCTTACCACGGGGCAGGCTTTTCATGGGTTTTTTAACTTCTGCTCTGAGTGAATCATACACATACAAAGTGGCCAAAGATTCTTTCTGACCGCTCGCTGCTTTGTAAACAAAACTGAGGCTTCTGTGAGGTGGCAGGTGACGCAGATGCCTGAGAGTCATGTTTCCGCAGCAACTGCTGGCTGCCGGCGCTTTCTTTCCCTTTTGGTTTCAAATGTGTTTGTAGCCAGGGACACTCGCACCTTTTCTGCTGTCTTGGCCACATTTCTGAAGCACTTTAAAACAACAGCCATGTGCGCGCAGAAAAAGCCACACTGCCAACAGGGCTGAGTGCTGAAATCACAGCAGCGTGACCGAGCCTTCTACCCAAGGCCACGAGTCCGTGACCTGACGGAGGTGGCTCCGGGCTTAACTGTCTCCATTTATAAAGGCGAAGCCTGACACAGGCTGAGTGGCAAAGACTGGAGCCAGAAAAATTTCTTTTTGTGAACAAAAACTGCATCAAAAGAAAAATCAGGCTGGGCACAGTGGCTCACGTCTGCAATCCCAGCACTTTGGGAGGCTGAGGTAGGTGGATCACCTGAGGTCAGGAGTTCGAGACCAGCCTGGGCAACACGGTGAAACCCTGTCTCTACCAAAAATACAAAAATTAGCTAGGTGTGGTGTCAGGTGTCCGTAATCCCAGCTACTCAGGAGGCTGAGGTGGAAGAATTGCTTAAACCCAGGAGGCAGAGGCTGCAGTGAGCCGAGTGCACCACTGCACTCCAGCCTGAGCAACACAGCGAGACTCTGTCAAAAAAAAAAAAAAAAAAAAAAAAAAAAAAAATTCAGCCGAGGCGGGAGAATTGCTTGAAGACAGGAGCTCAAGAGTAGCTGGGCCACATATCGAGAGCCTGTCTCTACAAAAAAATTAAAAAACTAGTTGGGTACAGTGGCGCATGCCTGTAGTCCCAGCTGCTCAGGAGGCTGAGGTAGGAGGATCATCTAAGCCTGAGAGGCGGAGGCTACAGTGAGCTATGATCGCATCACTGCACTCCGGCCTGGGTGACAGAGAAAGACTGTGTCTTAAAAAAATAATTTAAAAATATTTAAATATAAGTGTTGGCATCAATGGTCATCGTACAATGCCATGAAGTTTCACATACAGATACACCTGTGTGTCTAGCACCTACTTCAAGACTTAGAACATTCCAGAAACATTCATTTTTAACCCTCTTGTTGTTTCGACCAAATTGCCTCCTTCCCACTGCCTGAGGTGTCTACAGTCACTGGGCGGACGGAGGTGTCCTAGTTGGGACTCCCATTTGGAGGCCTCAATGACCCCCTGATAATATCTGAATGACGGTCGTTTGCACACCGTTCGCAGGGCTCAATAGCCAGGAACGTGCCCCAGCAAAGATCAGCAAACCTCGCCTACCTCCATCCCAGCCTCGGCTTCCACCAGAATAGAGGATAACCAGGCGCCCACACAGAGGCAGGCCACCCCGCCACTGGGCCAGGCCTGCCCATGGGGAGAGGCCCCTGGAGGCCACACCCCAGACTCACTGATGGAATACACAGTGGGGCCCCCCCTAGAGGATGGCGCTCCAACCCCAAGGACCCCTAAGTCCAAAACATCATAGAAGTCTTAAGTTTCAGCTTAAAAGAGAGTGTCAGTTTCACACCTATCTCTGCCATGTACCTGCATTTGATCTCGAAAACAAAAGGAAGGCCTCCCAGTTCCCTGGCTGGAATTAAGGAATTAAGCTCTGGCTGTAACGAACGCCCCCTCTGAGCTCAGACCCACTCCTCGTCCAGATACGCACATCTGCAGCTGTGACTGGCGAAGAGGCGAGGTGAGTTTCCAGCTGGTGAGGGTGCATCTGATACTTACTCGTCACCCAAGGGGATCTGAACTCCAGAGGCTCCCTGCACAGCGAGGGTCCTTTCCACGAGGGAAACAAGCCTCACCTGCCTGTTGGGTCCCTCTGAATCCTACTGGGGGGGTTAATTCATCCCAGAATGAGGGGTACTCTTGGACTAGCAAAGTTCCTCGTCCCTTCATGAGAGCTGGAGCGGGGCGGGGAGGGAGCGCAGGGGACCCGGGCGGCTGCAGAGCAAGGGCTAGACAGGTTACCTGGTCCGGTGATGGCGGGCATGTTGAAGATCTCCGTCCCAGGCTGGCCGATATCTGGAAGCAGGGTGACAAAGCGGGTGAGGTCCCCAGGGCTCTGGGAATCACCTGCCCCACCAGTCCTCTGTGTGGTCCAGGCCAGGTGCGCCAGTATCACCTGGGGAATCTTGTTCATCACAGGTTCTGATGCAGCAGGCCTGGGACAGGGCCAAGGGTCTGCATTTCTTTTTTTTGAGACGGAGTCTCACTCTGTGGCCCAGGCTGGAGTGCAGTGGTGTGAACTTGGCTCACTGCAACCTCCGCCTCCCAGGTTCAAGTGATTCTCCTGCCTCAGCCTCCCAAGTAGCTGGGATTATAGGTTCGTGTCACCACGTCCGGCTAATTTTTGTATTTTTAGTATAAAAATACGTGGGGTTTCACCATGTTGCCCAGACTGGTCTTGAATTCCTGGCCTTAAGCAATCCTCCCACCTCATCCTCCCAAAGTGCTGGGCCTATAGGCATGAGCTGTTGTGCCTGGCAAGCCAGCGACCATCTGTGCTGCTGCTACTCCAGCCCCAGGAAGGGAAAAGCCTCTGTGATTTGCCCAAACTCCCCTGGCAGATGAGGCTTCCTGGGGTCGGGGACCATGACAGATTCTTTATTTGCCCACCCACTCACGTATTCCCTGGTGGATCTAAGTGCCAGGTACTGTGCTACTGACTGGGAGGCAGACTGGGGTGTTCATACCCAGCAACCATGTCAATGGGTGCAAAGCCACACAGTCGCTGGGCCACTGGGTATGGGAGGCCCCCGGCCCGTGTGTGGGAAGGACCCAACCCCTGGTTCCTGTATTCATGTGGGTATTCATTGGGTGCCTACTATGTGCTGGCGCTATTCTTCCGTGCCAGCAAACTCCTATGGAAAGCCCAGCGATCAACAGACTGCCCTGGGCCTCCCCGGATGTGAGGCGAAGGGCCGGGGCGGGCGTGGAAGGCGGTCAGCAGGACCACTTAGCTTTCAAAGTGCCCTGTGGGTTTCTGCCACTGGGTGGCTCCAGCACCCCCACCGGCAGGCCACCTGCCCACCCGTGACCCCGTGCTTCCCGGGAGACTGCAGGCCCCTTACTGTATTCGGGCTCATTCCGATTGTGGGTGTTCAGCTTCTTGTTGATCTCCTGCTTCTTGGACTTGACCATGGCGGAGTTGCTCTCAGTCAGCTTGCTGAAGAAGGCTGGCGGCTGGCCGGTGTTGCCGGGAGACTTGGAGCCCATCCTGCTGTAAGGATCAGACACCTCATATGAGCTCACCTGCATGTCTTTCATGACAGGGAACTCACCACCTGAGATGCCTTACACATTTGGAACAAGCTTCACCCGCCCCCACGCCTGCATGTCCTGTCTCGCAGAAGACCAGGGCTCCTGCAAACTCCTTTGCAGTTCACCCATCCTGGGGCTCGAGGTGTTTCGGGAGACGCCTGGCTGCGTGGTGGTCTGCCTCTGACCGCCTGCTCCGACCTGCTCCTCTGAAGAGAGCCTCAAGGACTGACACTGGGTTCTGACCACGCCCTTCCCCAAGGCCAGTGCGCCCAGCTTCCTTCTCAGCCCTCGCCTCACTCATCACCCGCAGTCTGGTCCAGCACAGCTAGCTCATTCTTTCTTAGAGGTTCAGCAGAGGCCACAAGGCACGGAGAGCCACCACTGAGGTCTCTGCAGGGAGCGTGGGCACGTATCACACCCCCACGTTGGTAAAGCTTACTTAGTGGGCTTGAGGTTGCCCACTTGAGCCCTGCACCCTTGTCAGTTTTCACACGGCACTGCGGTGGACTGGGGCCAAGGATGGGCAAGGAGCTGCTAGCTGAGCATCCCGGGGCAGGGCATGTGCCCACAGAAGTACCTGGGCTCCGTGTGCTCCCCATCCCGGTACAACAGCGGGTACACAGCGCTCCGGGAGTGCCCTGGCTCTGTCATGCCCTCCGGTGGGGACACAGGTTCAATACCGTCCTCGCCGCCACCCAAGACCGACGTCTTGCTTGGCTCTGGAGACCTGGATGGAGAAAGGGCCCCGGATGTGGTGAGAAGTCTCCCTCCTGAGGGGACACGCCCCTCCCAGCCCGCCTCCAGTCTAAACCAGGGCTCAGCACGCTTTTCCTGTCCGTCGCCAAATCAGATTATGTTTTAGGCATTTTTGACCACAAGTAATCTCTGGCACGTATTGTTACTACTTTTATTTTTTTAAACAACCCTTAACAAATGTAAAATCATCTTTTTAGTTCATGAATTATACAAAAACAGGCCATGGGCTGGATCTGGGCCATGGGACATAGTTTATTGACCCCTGCTCTGAGTTCTGGTTGTACCTCAGTGCCAGCGACACCACTGTCCCCCAAAGATGTCCCGCTGTCCCGCTGTCCTGTCCTCCCCCCCCACATTACCTCCCCCTTGCCTACCAAACCGCCTCCTTCACCCTGGAGCTCAGGGCCCTCTCCTCGCCTCCTTTTGACCCCTAGATGCCCCAGGGTTCACCAGGGTGGGAGTGTGTGTGAGCATGTGCTGGGGTGTGCGTGTGCGTGCATCGATGGGTGCGTGCATGTGTGCATTGTGTGTGTGCATGTGTGCACGTGTGCCCTGATGTGTGTGTGTCCGTGTGTGTGTGCACTGATGTGTGCGTGCATGTGTGCACTGATGTCTGCGTGTGTTGAAAGGCTGCATTGTGACTGCATGTGTGTGCACTGAGGTGTGTGTGCATGTGTGTGCACTGATGGGTGTGTGTGCACGCATGTTGAAAGGCTGCACTGATGTGACTATGCATGTGTGTGCACTGGTGTGTGTGTGTGTGCATGTGTTGAAAGGCTGCATTGATGTGTGACTGCATGTGTGTGCCTGTGTGCATTGATGGGTGTGGGTGTGTGTGCATTGATGGGTGCGTGTGCATGTGTGTGTGCGTGTGTTGAAAGGCAGCTCTCTAAACAGTCCTGGATCCCATCCACCTCTGCCACCTTCTAACTGTGTCCCTGTGGGCAAGTGACTTTACTTCTCCAGGCCTTGGTTTCTTCATCTGTGAAATGGGGAAAATGTTGTTCATGCCTCCCGGGGGGCTGTGTGTAAAGGGTACACGTGGGTGCCCGGAACCCACTGAGCACCGTGTGTACTTTGATCAGCTTTCATTTATTATGAATCCACTCTGTGACCTCCCCATCTCCCAGAGCCTCTGTTTCTTGCCTGTGCAACGGCGCCAGGCGGCTCTCACATGCAGCCGAGCTGGGACCCCACTCCGAGGCAGGCAGCTGATGAAGGCCTCCCACCGGCTGACCGGCAAGCGGCATCCCCACCCCTCACTCACCTCTTGCCCCCTTCGCTGTGGGGGGAGCCACGGGCTGGGGCACCATGGTCCGGGGGTGGGAGGTAGAGGTCACTGGGCGGGCGGCGGAGGTCCAGGACGGGACAGCTGGCCCCAGGGAAGGAGTAGAGGGGGGCGGGCAGGGGTGTGCTGAGCTGCTGTGGGTGGTGCCGGGTATAGTCCTGCGTGATGACCTCCTGCAGGCAAGTTGGGGACCCAGGGTCAGGCAGCTCCCTCCTGCCGGAACCTTCTGGGTGGGGGAAGGGGCCAGATGGAGCTCGGGGTGAAACCCTGGCTGGGGCCGGCTTCCTGGGCGACTACGGATCTGCCCACCACCCTGTGGGCCTCCATGTCCCTGTGTGCATGGGAGTGGGGCTGTGGTCAGCAGTCTCAAGCTGGTAGTCAGCAGATGGCTGATGTGACTGGCCCACGACACTGAGAAACCCAGGTCACCAGGAGACCTCATCACCCTTGAAGATGCTGTCGGCTCACATCGCAGGCCCCCCATGGGCGAGGAGGCGCAGACAGCGCGGCTGCTTGGGGCTTCAGGATCTCACCTTACCCACACCCCGGATCCCCCAGCTTCCCCGCCAGGACAGAGGGGCTGGGGGGTTCCCCATCCCCTCTCCAGGCCTGGTGCCCCAGGTGCAAAGGTGACGAAGGGGCAAAGAACGCATAGTTACACTGATGTGCTGGGCCAGGGTGACCACCCGCTGGTGGCCCTTGACCCCCGGGGCAGTCTGGAGCAGTGGGCTGGACGAGGGCTGGCTCTCGGGCAGCGGCCGCAGGTGTGGGAGGTGGGTGGCCTCCCCGCCGAGCTTCAAGGGGCCTGCGGGCAGAGCAGAGCCGGTCAGGGGGTGTCTGCTGGCCCCAGGGCTGCTGGGCCCGAATCCCAGCCCTGCGCCTTTCAGCCTTGGGGCCCGGCCAATTCCTGGGCCTTTCGGCGCCTCTGTTTGCCCATCCGCGTGCTGGGGCCAGAGGGTTCCCGTCTGGCCCGGCTTCAGGGCCAGGTGCTGGCTGGGGCGTACCCGGCTGCTTGGGCCGAAGCTCCCCCTCCAGGTGGCTCTTGTCAAGCTCCTCCAGGTGCTTGGGGAGCCCCTTGTCGTGTGTCAGGCTGGGCGAGCTCACGGGGCTGACGGGCTCTACCCCATCGGGGCTGTAGCTGCTGCCGTGGTAACCTGGGGCAGGCGGGGTGCAGAGTCAGGCACTGGGCCCAGGGCCTCGGAATCCGAGGGGCAGGGCTACCCTCCCAGCTGGCTGGGTCCCCTTGGGGTCAAGGGGAATCCGAGCTAGGGGTGGGGTGTGGGTGCCCAGAGAGAGTAAGGCAGAGGAGGGTGTGTGGGAGAGAGGAGGAGGCCAAGAGAGAGGTGGAGAGAAACGCAGAGCCCGGGACAGAGACAGAGACAGAGGGAGAGGGAGACAGAGAGAGATGAGGAGAAGAGACGGCTCAGGCGGTGGAGGTGGGGCAAGGCCGGCGTGAGACCAGGCAGTGTGGGTCTCTGGGGAAGGGGTGCATTGAGCAGAGTGAGAAGTGGGGTGTGGCTGGGAGTGACCCTGGGTCCTGGGGGCCCTGCTGGGCTATAGGCTAGGCCATCCTAGTCCAGCAGAGCGGAGCTGAGAGCTAGGCCAAGGCGGGAGCTGCATGCAGAGGGCTCCCCTCGTTCAGGGGTTCACGGGCTGGGGACAGGGCATCCCTGAGACATCCTCCCCGGAACAGAACAGAAGAGCTGGACCCTCCTCCACAGCGCAGGCCCCCACCCCTCCTCAGCTCCTCCTGGAATCGCCTGCCTCCACTTCCCCAGATCCAACTGCATCCAGGCAGGCGGGGAGCAGAGGCCAGAGCACCCCCCGCAGCCCCATCCCTGCTCCCTGGACACAGGCGCAAAGGGGGAGATGGGGGCGCAGTTGAAGTCAGAATCACAGACCCATTCATTAAAGAAAAAAAAGCAATAATAATAATAAAAACAAGGTAAAATGATGTGCAAATGATGAGCACCCCAAACCAGAGGGGCGGGCGCGGCTGGAGTAGTCGTCAGCACGTGCAAACCGGCGAGGACGGACGGGCTTCAAAACAAAATATCGAAACTAACAACGAAAAAAACGGGGCCAAAGTAAAAAGCAGAGATCTGAAAATATCTTTGGAGCACGAGACAGGGTGGGTGCGGGCCGGAAGTCTTACCATCGCGAGGGGAGCCGTTGGCCAGCGCACCTCCTTCTCGCGCCCCTTTATCGTGAGCAATTTGACGCATGATAATCGCGTCTATGAAGGTGGCCGCTGTCAGGGTGGTCTTACCCAGAGAACGGAGTTCCAGTTCCTGGATGGAAAAGGGTTTACTTTGAGTCTTTTCTCGGTGCGGGTCTGAGGCCGAGGCGGGCGGCGCCGGCGGGTCCGGGCTGGCGTGGTGGGGTGCGAGGCTCTTTGCGGGGGTGCGGGCGATGGTGGTGTGGCCAGAGCTGGGGGCCACGAGGGGCCGGGGCTCAGAGCCCTTGCTGGGGGAGGAGGCAGGTTCCAGCCCAGAGCGGGCTGGGGGCTTGGCAAGGAAGGCATGGCCGGTGTCTGCTCGGGGCCGCTCTGGCCGGGCGACTCGGGGGGTCTCCTTGGGCAGCAAGACAGGCTCCATGAGGGTAGGGTAGACCCCATCGAGGGTGCTGCCCAGTGGGCAGTGGGTGGCGGGTGGGAATGTGGCAGCCGGGCGAACAGGTGAGGAGGATGGAGGTGGACCTGGAGGAGGAGGAAGGCGGTCAGGCGGTGGTGGCAGCTGCCCCCTTCCTCCACCACTCGCGACGCGTCCCCGCTGCCCTGGAAGAACATCTCCATTCCCCGCTGCTCCCGGAACGAACCTGCCCTCCTGACTGTGACCTGCCGTGCTCTGTGTGGCATGGCGTTCCCTACCCCATTCATTCGCTCACTCTTTCCTTGCATTATTCCCACATTTCTGATTAGGCAAAGAGTAGGTGCCAGGCACTGTTCTAGGCCCTGTGAATACAGCAGCCAGCAAAACAGATGCAAGCACCTTACCAGCCAGTTCACAAGACACGCTGCCAATGCGCTGACAGGCCTCCAAATCCTACAGAGCCCGGTAACTGTGCGGAGGCAGTAAACAAGGTGCCAGGAGAGTACGGCCAGGAAGCTGAGGCGGGGTGAGAGGAGGCTCTGGGGAGGGAGGCGTGAGGGAGCTGGACCTGCTCAGGACACCCGAGGAGCTAAAGGAACCACGTGAGGAGCGGGAGAGCAAGGGGAAGACCCCGGGGAGCCACCAGGGTGGTGCTGAGAACAGAAAGCCGCTTGTTCTGAGCTCTGTGGGCGAGAAGCTGCCCCTGCACAGGGCTGGGGCTGGGGCAGGAGCCGGCCGCTCCACCCACTCGGCCTTCCAGGAGGGGTTTTTCCATGGAAGGATGGGGTGTTTTTCCATGGGGGTCGCCCCATCTGTCGCTAACTCTGACTCCCAGGGCCTCGTTCATGAGTGGGCAGTAGGCAAGCGCTTGTTTTTTCCATTGTGTTTTACTTGGCTGCCGCCGGCATGTCCCGCAGAGCCTGCGTGCTGGCACCCTACTCCCCCAGCCAGGTGCTCGTGCCTCATGTACCTGCTGGGTCTCTGAGTCAGGGCTGACAAAGCCACCACTGCTTTTGGGAAACGATACCATTTTTTATAGTTGGAATTTGGGGTGGGGGAAGCGTATGACTTCAGGCACCCAAGCGGGGTGTGGGGGTGTGGGTATTTTTTTGAATGAAAATTCATTTTGGAGGAATTAAGTTGCCTCTAAATAGGTCCTGGAGGCCAGGCACAGTGGCTCATGCCTGTAATTCTGGCACTTTGGGAGGCTGAGGCAGGCAGATCACTTAAGGTCAGGAGTTTGAGACCAGCCTGGCCAACACGGTGAAACCGCATTACTATTAAAAATACAGAAATTAGCTGGGCATGGTGGCACATGCCTGCAATCCCAGCTACTCGAGAGGCTTAGGCAGGAGAATTGCCTGAACTTGGGAGGCGGAAGTTGCAGTGAGCAGAGATCACACCACTGCGCTCCATCGTGGGTGACAGAGCAAAAGTCCGTCTCATAAAAAAAAAAAAAAAAAAAAAAAAAAAAAAGAGGTCCCAGGCAAGGAAAGGTTGAACAACCCTACCCCATGGTGAGAAGCAGCTCTGCCCACAGTCTCTGGAGTGTGTGTCACCAGAAGGCACTCAGGGGCCTCTGCCAACTCAGAGACACTTGGGACTTTGTCCAGGCAAGAGGGCATCTCTTCCTTGCTGGCCTTGCTAAACCTGGGGGACCAGAGTCTTTCCTCACAGCGCCCACTCAGTCTCTCCCTCTCCACAGATTCTATTCTCAAACCAAACAACCTCCCCACCTCCTCATCCCACCTCCCAGCCCATCGTTCATTCATTCACCTGAGCCTCCATCCACTAGTCCCCCCAATTACTCATCTAACCGACCATTCCATCATCCACCTAACCCTACCACCCACCCACCCATCTATCAGCTAAGCCAGCCATCTGAGCTCACACCCAGCTACCTACCTACCTAACCACCCACCCACCCATCCATCTATCCACCCACCCTTCTATCCACCCAGCTAAGCCAGCCATCTATTCTCTTACTCCCCAACCTACCTAACCTGATCATCCATCCATCCACCCACCCATCCATCCATCCATCCATCCACCCATCCATCTATCCACCCACCCATCCACTCATCCAACCACCCATCCATCCATCCATCCATCCATCCATCCATCCACCTATCCACCCATCCATCCACCCATCCATTCACCCATCCACCCACCCACCCATCCACCCACCCACCCATCCATCCATCCACCCACCCATCCATCCATCCACCCATCCATCCATCCAGCCAGCCACCCATCCATCTACCCATCCAACCACCCATCCATCCACCCATCCATTCACCCATCCACCCACCCATCCACCCATCCATCCACTCATCCACCCATCCAACCACCCATCCACCCACCCACCCACCCAATCATCCATCCACCCATCTACCCATCCACCCAGTCATCCAGCCATCCACTCATCCAACCACCCATCCATCCATCCAGCTAACCCAGCCATCTATCCTCTTACCCATCTACCTACCTAACGTGACCACCCACCCACCGACCCAGTTAAGCTAGCCATCTATCATCTTACCCTAACCACCCACCCATCCATATACCCAGCTAAGCCAGCTGTCTGTCCTCTCACCTACACACCCACCTACCTAACCTGACCATCCATCCATCCATCCATCCATCCATCCACCCAGCCACCTACCCATACAGCTAACCTGGCCATCTATCCTTCCACCCTTCTACATACCTACTTAAACCCACCACCCACCCACCATCTATCCATCCACCCACCCACCCAGTTAACCCAGCTACCTATCCTCTCACCCACCCACCCACTTACCTAACTTGACCGTCCACCCATCCACCCAGCTATGCCAGCCATCTATCCTCTTACCTCACCTCACCTACCTACCTAACCCAACCATGCGCCCACCCATCCATCAACCCAGCTAAGCCAGCCATCTCTGCTCTCACCCACCCGTCTACCTAACTCACCCAGCTATCCACTCAGCTAAGCCAGCTGTCTATCCTCTCACCCACCCACCCACCTAACCTGAACTTCCCCCCACCCACTCACCCATCCATCCATCCACTCACCCACCCACACAGCTAACCTGGCCATCTATCCTTCCACCTGTCTGCCTACCTACCTACCTCACCTGACCACCTACCATCCATCCAGCCAGCCAGCCATATACCCAGTTAACCCAGCTACCTATCCTCTTACCCACACACCTACCTACCTAACCCTACCACCTACCCATCCATCTATCCACCCACCCAGCAAACTTAGCCATTTATCCTCCCACTGACCCACCTATCCACCTAATCCACCCAGCCATCCATCCGTCTGGCTAACCCAGCCAACTCTCCTCCCACCTACCCACATAACCCTATCACCCACCCACACACCCAGCCATCATCCATCTGCTACTCACGAATACGCTATTCTTCTAACACCAGCCACCCATCTGACCCCCAACCCGCCTCCCGTGTACCTCCCAACGAGCATCCTCTAGCCTAGCCTCCTACCACCACCCATCCTCACCCGCCCATCCACCCGTCCCCTCCCCCGTGCCAACCTGGCCCACCTCAGGACCGTGGGCGTGCTGGGCTCCACAGCGGTGATGATGCCCTTCATGCCTGTGTTGTGCAGCACGCTGGGTCTCTGCTGGAGGGCGTCCTGGGTCCGGGGGGAGATGGGCGAGTGCTGGTGGGCGTGAGAGTGAGAGGCGGGGCGGCTGCCGCCCCCACCCCCGCCGCTGCCGCTGCTCTGCTCTGTACCTGGTGACAGGCCGTGGCATCAGCAGGGGGAGGCCTCAGGTGGCCCACAAGGAGTCCCAGGGCGGGGGTGGGGGCCTGATGCCCTACCAGGTCTCCAGATGGGCGCGTGCTCCACCGTCGTGGTGGATGTGAGGATTGACTTTTCCCGCTCCCGCTCCCGGTCCCGCTCCCGCTCAGACGAGGACGTGGTGGTAGATTTCGTCAAGTGCGTGGGACCTCCTAGGAAACCCGAAGGCCAGAAGACTCAGCCCCAGGGCCAAGAAGAGACTGGCTTTGTCTTCTGGAGTGGGGCAGAAGGCAGGGCCTCTGCCCGCCCTCACCCCAGCTGCCTCCCACAGATGCCGGGGTCCCCACCCAGGACTGGGGGGCGGTGCTACCTGGGGAGAGTGGGGAGCTGCTGTGGCGGCTGCTGAAGGGCTGGGGTGCGGTGGGGAGGTAGGCAAGGCGGTCCATGGCGGTGGCTGGGGTGCCTGGCGTTGGGGGCACCAGCACGGGCAGGTGTGGCACTTGGGATAGGTCGATGATGCCTGTGGGAGGAGATGGGCCGGGGCTGGAGCCACAGGGAGGAGAGAGGCCAGGATGCCCACTGGCCAGACTGCCCTCCCGGAGAGCACGGCACGCACTCCTGGAGCCAGCAGAGCCAGTGGCGGGCACTCCCTCCTCGGCTCCTAGCCTTGGCCACGGGGCCCTTTTCTGAACGCTCAGGTCCAGTCCTCTCAGTCCCACCGCCTCTTCTGCTGTCACGCCTGAGCGCGGCATCCCCTGCAGCTCCGTCCCCGCTTCCCTTCGTAGGCCCTCTGTGCCCTTCAGCCTCTGATGCCTACACAGTCCTGTGTTCAACCCTTGCTGTCCAAAATACCTAGTGTGACTTCGGCTTTTCCAGCTGAGCCCCAACTAGAACTTGGGTTATTCCAGAACATTCCAGGAGCACGTCTGAGGACAGCTCTTGAATGTATGTGTGCAAAGCAACCACGGGCTGTTTACGGGGCAAAGGAACGAAAGTCCAAACAGCCTCACATTCTGATCTGTCTTTAAACTCTCGAGGCCCATGTCCTAAGAGTAAACGCAGACTCATGCACACCCACTGAGGATGCTGTCGGACACACGCCAACCACGTGACAACCAGTACCCACGGCACGCACAGCCCCACGCCACCCACTCAGGTCTGCACACACAAGGTGACCCACAAGGCGACCACGTCTAGCCGCCACGGCGAGGCCACGGGGGCACACAGGGGCACACGCGTGCTGTTTGGGAATAAGGCCAAACCCAGTGGAGGTGGCCCGCCCGCCCACGCACCTCGGGGGCCAGCAGCATAGTTGAGCGCCAGCGAGGACTCTCGGGGCGAGAGGCCCCTCAACATGTCGGCGCGCTGGGCCATGGCGGTGGCCGCGTTGTGGTGCATCTGTTGCGAGGTGATGTAATCGTTGATGATGGTCTGCCGGTTCTCCAGCGCTGCTGTGTCGGGGTAGCCGCGGATGAGGTAGGGTGGGTACAGGTGCGGGTAGGTGGGGTTGGGGGCCAGGTGCCGGGGCAGGTAGTAGGCAGCAGCTGTGGGCAGAGGGGAGGGGCGTGAGGCGGGCCACACCCAGGCCTGACAGTGCCTCCCTGCCTGTCTGGATGCCCCCCGACTTCTACACCTGGACTGCTTCTCCTGCCTACATCTGAGCGCCGGACAGCAGGAAGACTTCTCCCCAGAACACAAGGGGGTGACTTCTACGAAGGATGCTTTTTACTTCTACAAAGGATGCTTTCTTGGGACAATCAAAGTTGTCCCAAACATATGACATCCCAATGCAGATTAACACACCAAAGGGATGCAACTCTTTAAAAAGAAAATTTTCAGATCATGTCTATTGGAAAAATGCATACGCTAGAGTCCTCATTGAATACATTTGCATTGGTTAAAGGCACTGGTTAAGTCCTGCAAGAAAAGAAAACCACTGAAATGTTTAACCCCCCCATGTCCTGCCAACTACTTAGAGAAATTCTGCTCCAACCTCAACTGGTCACGATTATATTGTTGGGTCTTCTAATCTCCAGCCCTCAGTTTCCCCATCCAAGAGAATCTAATAGTTGATGCCTAAGGAGTCCTTGGGCTAATGCTGATGAGGTACCCCGCCCTGTGCACCACCACTGCAGGGTTCTGGGAGCCCTGGGGCAATCACCTGCGTCCAGAGGGATGCCTCGGGGTATGGAGGTGGGGTCGAAGGCCAGGGGGATGTGGCTTCGATACAGGTCCACGCCACTCACGCCCCGGATCAGGTGCTCGTAGGGGGAGATGGGGTGTGGGTGGTGCTCTGGCACGGTGCTGTGCGGGGACTTGGCGATCTCACGAGGTGTCGACGTCAGCTTTCGATCCTGGGATGCCTTGCTGGACGAGAGGCTGCCTGTGGATGGGCACGGCGGATGGCATCGGGTTTCAGCACCGGCCCCCCACACAGGGCCTCTGGGGCTGGCGTTTATGGGGTGTCCTTTGAGGGTTGGGTGCTTAGCATCCCAAGGACGGGTCTCTTCATTCCTTCCTTCATTTCTTCATCTGTCTTAGTTTATTTTTTGTTCATTGACTCATTTGCTTTTGTGTTATAATTCTATTTTAAAAATACACTCTTTCGTTCATTCGCTCGATCAATAAAAAAATACTGATGTAGCCTCTACTATGTGCCAGCAGTGTTGTGAGAACTGCGGTGACCCCAGTGAACAAAACAGACAGAAATCCTAGTCCCCACGGAGCTGGCACTCACCGTGAGAGACAGACCGGTGACAAACCAATAAACACATGAGAGTTACAGAGTGAAACATGCTTGGAATATATACATATATATTTGAGATGGAGTTTTGCTCTTGTTGCCCAGGCTGGAGTGCAGTGATGCAATCTCAGCTCACTGCAGCCTCCGCCTCCCGGGTTGAAGCGATTCTCCTGCCTCAGCCTCCCATGTAGCTGGGACTACAGGTGTACATCACCACACCTGGCTATTGTTTGTACTTTTAGTAGAGACGGGGTTTCACCATTTGGCCAGGCTGGTCTTGAACTCCTGACCTCAGGTGATCTGCCTGCCTCTGCCTCCCAAAGTGCTGGGGTTACAGACATGAGCCACTGTACCCAGCCGGAAGAAAATGTTAGTGTCACGGCATGTGACATGAACTGGGGAGAAGAGGTTTGGTTAGAAGTCTCCCCAAGGATGCGACATTTAAACAGAGACCCAAGGGATGGAAAGAAACCCACTACGTAAAGATCTGGAAGGCGGGGACATGGCAGGCGGAGAGGCGGAGCCGAGCAAAGGCGCTGGGTGAAGACTGAGCTGACGGAGGTGAGCAAGGGCAGGGAACAAAGAAAGGAGGCCGGGGCGGGGCTGCGGAGGGTGAAGGAATCTGGCTGAACGAGGCAGGCCGGGCCCCAACAGCAGGCACCCCAGGCCGAACAAAACGTGTGAAGTTGCCAGAAGGATGAAAGCAGGGAAGTGGAATAATTTGATCTGCATTTTTCAAAGGTGTCCAGGCTGTGGTTTGCAGAGTGGATTACGGCAGGAAGCGGCAGGGGAGTGGGGGAAGCTAGGTGAGGCACCGTGGTGGTCCGGACGGTGGGAAGCGTTCGGAGTTGGAGGCAGAGCCCGCGGGCCTGCAGGTGGTCTGGATGTGGTGGAGAGCCGGTGGCGAGGACATCCCAGGTGCAATCGAAGCTAATGGTGGAGGGTGAAGGACAGCTTCCCCAGCCAGACACCCAGCCCGCCATGCCCACGCATGCCCCACTCACCCTCCTGCAGGCGCGGCGTGGGCTCCCGTGTGGTCACAGGCGAGCCTCGCGGGAGGTGGCCGGCGAAGGGCGCTCCGTGGTCCTCGTAGGTCAGGGGGCTCTGCCGTGGCTTGCCCAGCTCTGGCACAATGACTGGGGCCCCGCGTGCAATGGAGCCCCCCGAGCTGCTGGCGGCCCCTGGCCGGTTCTTCAGACTCTCCTCATAGCAGGCGCGTTCCAGTGCCCGGGCGTCGGCCATCACGTCCAGCGGGTGCACAGGTGGGAACGTCCGGCCGGGGCTGCCGATGAGGGAGCGCACGTCGTGCTTTTTGGAGCCAGTGGCGGACGCGCTGGTGTCGTACTTGAGCGGGGTACCCTGGGGCAGAGGGGGTGTGAGCTCCAGCCTTGTCCACAGCCACAGCCCAAAGCAGCTGCATCCCCCTTCTGAGCCTCAGTCTGTCATCTATAAGATGGGGGTGACATCGTTCGCCTCCCGGGGCAGGGAGACAGACGGCTTAGCTGACCCCGAGATGGGCACGCTCGTTACTCTCTGCCCTGCCCACCCTGGGCCTGACCCTGGTCCCCAAGCTCCCTGGGGGGCTACAGAAAGGGGTAAAAAGCTCAGCAGCCATCTCTCCCTGCTGGGAGTGAAGGCCCCTGAGTTTGCTAGAAAGCAGCACAACACCCTCATGTAGGCAAACACTGTCCCTCTGTTCAGCCTAGGACCCTCCACGGCCCACCCAATGCCAAGCAGAGAAAATCGGCACCCAGATTCAATGCCACCCACCCTAAGGCTTTCAGCCCCGGGGACACTGAGGTCAGGGCTGAGGTGTTTGCTCTCGGGGCAGAAAGGAAGGCTGAAGAAATGGGGGGGTCACTGTGCAGACTGGGACCTGCGCAGCCAGGCCACCAGGTCCCCAACCCGTTTCAGTACGCTTAGGGGACGCCGATACTGTGGGGCCTTAGGGCTTTGCAAGCAACAGAAGTCTATTAAGGGATGTCTTCATTACATTCCTAAGAACGGGAACTGCCCTTGTTTTTCAAAAGAATACTCTAGAATCTGCGCCTGGTCCTGATCAGGCGGTGGCTGCTTGCCAAGGGCTCCATAATTGCCTGGGGGCTGAGAGCCAAACCCTCCCCGGGGCATTCAGTGATCTGACTGCTTCCGCCTTCGGCTTCAAAACCTTCCTGCAGGCTGGGACCCCACCCGGGACGCCCACCCCAGTCCTTCCGCCTCACAGCCCCGAGGCCCCAGGGTAGCTCCACTCTCCTTCCCCCTCACAGGAGGCCACCTCTGCCCACACGGAAGGACAGTGGCCTCAGGGGCTTTCCACCGATTGTACCATTGGCAGGAAACTTCCCCTACTGAGCTGGGGCCACCTGGGGGGCTGGGGCCACCTGGGGTGCAACCTGCTGGTGGGTGCAACGGATGTTGAGAACAGTGACGTTGCAGCTATAGGGACATCTGGATTTGGGTTTCACAACTGCATTTGCTGTGTGACTCTGGGTGAGTGGCTGAAGCTCTCCGAACCTCAGTTTACTCAGCAAAAAAATAAGGTCATGAAGTAAACGACCTCAGAGCATTGGGGGGTGGCGGGGCGTGCACAATTCACTACTCGGCATCCTCAGAGCATTGCCACGGGGTGGGGGGGGGGATTGACTAATCAGTGGCCTAAGAGCATTGCCACAGGGGACATAATTCACTCCACAGCATCCTCAGGCCGGGCGTGGCCCGGCACAGAGGCCACAGACACTCATTACTGTGCTTAATCCTGGGGTGCTGGAAGCCTGCTTGGTCTCTCTGGGCCTCAGTTTCTCTCCCTGAAGAATGGGAACTTGGAAGTTCAGCGGAACGAGGTCAGGAGTCTGATGCCCCCAGCACAGCCCCGGGACCAGCCCAGCCAAGGCCCGGTGATGAGCAGCTGGGTGACTGTAAGGCACTCAAGGGCTTTCAGCCTCGGTTTCCCCAGGTGGAGAAGCCCAGGGCAGTGCCCTGCAGCCACTGCTGCCCCTGCTAGAACTGGGCCCGCCTGCCTGGCCCCCGGCCGTACCTGCGTGATGGAGCCTTCCTTGAGCGGCCTCGGGGCCAGGGGCAGCTCAGGCGTGTGCCGCAGCTCCTCGCGCGGGATCTCGTGGATGGAGCGGCCCGCCTCCTTCACTGTGGCCACCAGGCCCTCGTGGGCCGGCTTCAGCTTCAGGGGGCCCAGGGGCTGCGTCTTGCAGGCCTCGGTCAGGTCCCGTGGGGGCGGCGGGGGCGGCGGCGTGCCTTCCCGCTTCAGGAGCTTGGCCTCTCGACGCAGGTAGTCCTCCTGGGCCTCCACGTACGACCTCGGGATCCCTGCCGGGAGGACAGCACTGACCCTCGGGCCCCGCCCTGCCCAGGCCCACCAAGAGCCAGCTGGTCCGGGAGCTCGACGACCTGAGTTCAAATCCCCACTTGCTGTGTGACCTTGACCAGGGAATCTGACCTCTCTGGGCCTCAGCCTCTTTCTATACAAAACAAGAATACTAACTGAACCACCTCAGCAAGTCGTGGACACCATGAAATCGTGAAGCTAAAACCACAGGCCAAGAACAGTAGCTCATGCCGGTAATCCCAGCACTTTGGGAGGCTGTGGGCAGGCAGACAGCTTGAGCTCAGGAGTTTGAGACCAGCCTGGGCAACATGGCGAAACCCCATCTTTACAAAAATACAAAAATTAGCTGGATGTGGCGGTGTGCGCCTGTGGTCCCAGCTGCTTGGGAGGCTGAAGTGGGAGGATTGTTTAAGCCTGAAAGGTGAAGGCTGTAGTGAGTTGGGATTCTGCCACTGCACTCTAGCCTGGGCAACAGAGTGAGACCCTGTCTCAAACAAGAAAATAAAAATAAAAAAATTGAAACCACACAGCTGCCAGGTTCACAGTAGCCGGCTGTGCCACGGACCAGCCACAAGAACACGACAGGGTTCTCAGCGCTCTCCAAGTCTCTGCCAATTGCACCTGCCTCACCAGGGCGCTCTGTAAATGATACGCAGGTGGCACCTGGGTTAGTGCCAAGCACAGGGCAGCTGCTCTGCAAGTGACACCTCAAAGCAGAGGGGTGACGGGTGGTATCTGGCTTTTCATTTTTGTTTTCAAGTAAGAGACAACGCTAGCTCTGCGGCTCACGTACTGACCGTGCCGCGCACCTTTCTGTGTAGCTGCTCGCCCCACTCCACTGGGTCTCCCCTCCCATGCCCTGCTCGATTGTACACTCGAGGGGGGCACCCAGGGCGCAGTGGGCAGGGCAGTACCTTGTGTAATGGACCCTCGGATGTGGTGCTGCTCTTTGAGGTGGTGGGGGCTGTGTCGCTCAGGTGGGATGGCGCGGCCCATGAGACCTGGGTGGGAGAGGGCGAGGGCGAGGGCGTCATTCTGGGGGTCCCTGAGCCGTCACTGGGCAGTGACGGGGTCAGCCACCAGTGATCGTCCCCGGGACGATGGTGGAGTAGGACCCAGCAGGTGAGGGTCCCTGCGCTGCCTCCACGTGGAGCCTCCGAAAGCACAGCCTTGGTTTCCCCTCTGTAGAATGGGGCCAGCCATCTCCCCACCGCCCTCGAGGGAGCACCGAGGGATGAAGTCTCTTCCCTGCTATCACCGGGAGAGCGAGGGCCCCACCTTCGATGCTGGCCGAGGAGATGGCTCTGCCCACACGGCCCTCCATCATGTCGTAGGTGCGCTTGGGGGCGGCCGTCTCGTGGGGCGGTCCTGAGCTGCTTCTGCCATCCTCCTTGGAGCCCTGGGTCACAGACATGCCACCTGGAAACCACGCAAAGCCCTTGTGAGGAGCTGGGCACAGGCAACCATGTGCACGGGCCCAGGACCGCGGTGGACAGGCAGGACGGGTAGCGCATCGGGCAGGAGCCAGCAATGCTTCTATGCCGGCCCCGTCACGAGGCCTCACAGCCGAGAGCTCCCGGGGGAGCCCACACCTGCAGCCCCCAGGGGCTTTTCCAGGGGGCTACACAGAGACAGACGCAGGGCACGCTGTCTGCACCCCGCACCCCGGCCTCCAGGGCGCGCTGTCTGCACGGAGGGCTGTGCCTGTGACCACACACGAGCAGGCGGGTGTGTCCGCACACACAGCGCCACCGAGGGGTGTGAACATGTGCACACACAGGCACATGAGCAAAGACATCAGCAGCGTGGGCGTGCGGGGCAGGCACGGGTGTGTGTGGAGTGCCTGTGCTGCAGGGAGTGGTGAAGGAGCCTCCGTGGCAGAGGGGGCCTCGCCAGGCCAGAGGAGCCCAGGTGGGCCTAGCCCACTGCCCCCCGGACAGGCAGCGGGTTAACAGATGGAGGTGGCCCCGGAAGGTAAAGGCTTGGCTCTGCGCATCAGCCAGGACTCTCCTTCCAGGGCTGCCGAGCCCAGCACTATCCCAAGTCAGCCCCCGGAGCCCTGGCCCACCCCTCGGGGGAATGACCCACTGACGGGCTCTCGGGACTCTGAAGCGTTGCTTCGTGTGGCCCTCAGCCTGCAAGCTACGTACGCCAGAGGCTGCCAACTGGAGGGTGCCGAGCGGCTGTGCAGAAAACATTCCAAATTAATTGCCAACGTTCACACATTGGGAGACATCAGGTGAAAACGGAGAGACGGGGAGCCTGGCCGAGCAGCACCATGCGGGGGTGGACGGCGTGGCAGGTACCACAGTCCTCCCTGTGCCCTACTGCCTCACACCTGCCGCTGCCCGCACCACCTGCCCGGCTCAGGGAGCAGACAAGGGTTTAAAGGCCCCGACAAAAACCTAGGATGAAGACGCTACATTCAAGGCCCACGGAAGCTCGGGCACTGGTCTGGGGCCCACGGTGGGATTCTACCCAGGGACCTCTCAAGACAAACCCTTCACTACCCCCGCTACCTGCCCTTCCCAGGCTTCCTACCACCCCGGGATGCTCAGTCCAGGGGCACCGGGGCACGAGCTGGCACCCAAGACACAGCTGCTGTGTGGCAGCAGGGAGCGCATGTTCCTAAAACCACATGGTGCCACCTCCACTTTCCCGGTCTGGGGAGGGGGCCGTGGGCACAGGCGGAGGCGGAGGCGGAGGGAGAAGAAAATGGTGCCCTCGGGAGGAGAGGCAGTTCCGGGCTGTGCAGCTGCAGTGCTGAGAGGTGCCCATTAGCAGCTTCCATTTCCACACCCCGGGTACCCTCAGCTGCCAGGAAATTCTTTTTCCTGGCACTCAACTCCCTTAACTCCTTCCTGGCAGGGTCTCCCGGTTCTGGAACCCAGAGCCTAGAGGGGGAGAGGATGGGGGCTCCACAGAGAGCGCCCGGGCACCGCAGGGTGAGGGGCACTCCGGCCAAGGGCTCTTTCATGGCCAAAGAGTGTGCGTGCTTTGTCAGGACAGTGCCGGAGGCCTGGGGTGTGAGCTTGGGCTTCTGCTTCAAGCCTCAGTTTCCCTCCTATGCTCCTAGAAAGGGTGGCCACAAGTTTGTTTCCTAAATTGTAAAGAACTGGCTGGAGGTGGGAGGCAGCTAAGGCCAATGCTTCCCTGTTGCTGGCTTGCATACCTGCAGGGACGGGGAGGTCACCACCTATCAGATCGTGCTTTCTCATGTCAACCCAGCCCTGCCTCCCTGTTAAACTACCTCAATGGGACAAGCACACACCTAACCCAGTCCTGGGCCCCCTCTCCTCCTGCGACTCACCCTCGTAGGACAGGACGTGGCCCTTCTTGCCCTCGTAGATGACGTGGCCTTTGGGCAGGCTGTCCTCCCGGCCTCGGTCCAGGCGACTCGGGCTGTCCTCACCGATGATCCTGGTGATGGTGCCCTTGTACAGGACGTCGGCCGGTGTGCCCTGCAGGTGCAGAGGAGTGAGTGCCCAGGAGGCCGCAGCCAGGACCCCTCTCAACTCCAGTACAGGCACAGACGCGTACAAGTCCACGGGCCCCCCAGTGCCCACTGTGTCCACACACACGCTGTCTCAGAAGGGTGAGTGCTTGCACGGAACAGAACCCCACGGGGAAGCTGCAGAGGAGGATCCCTTATCACGTGCTCGCCGTTCACGGATACTGCTCTGGGCGCTTTCTATGGATTCGCTCGTCTAATCCTCAGGCAACCCTAAGGCAGCCCTATTGATCATGCCTGTTTCAGATGGGGAAACCAAGGCACAGGGACTTCACCCAGGGGGACCTAGCTAATGAGGGGCAGGCGGGGACCAGAAGCCATGCATTCTGGTCCTGGAGCCTTGACATTCAGTTACCAAAAACTGTAACTGGTGGGGATGCTGGGGTTTCTGCTCCTGTGCTGTGCCTGTGACCACATCATGCACTTTGTTTCCTAAAACCAGGACAAGGACTCGCGTCAGGGCAGGACACCAGACATTTTAGTTCCAACCCATGGATTCTCCCCGTCGGCCCTCCTGACAGCGGGAGCTGGGCCATTCATTGCTGTGGGGCTGGCCCGGCACTGTGGGGTGTTTGGGAGCCTCCCTGGCTTCCAAGCGCTGAATGCCAGTGGTCCACGCCTCCCCAGAGTGTGCCCCACCAACTCAGGACAATCAAAAATGTCCCTAGACAGGTGCAGGCAAAATTTCCCCCAATTAAGAACCGCTGCCTTATAGGGAGTGAGCTCCCCACCGGAGGATGTGTTCAAGCAGAGAGCAGAGGGTCATGTGGGGTAGCATCCTGCCTCGGGTGACTTCCAGGAACACAAGCATCAGGGGTTAGGATATGACGTTGGAGTCAGACTGCTGGGTGTCAAACAGCCACTCTGCTACCGCGTTGCTCTGGGACCGCCTTTCTGGGCCTCAGTACAAGGCGTCCCCAGATCTCAACATCCCGCTTCTCTTTCTAGGATTCTGGGAGCGGATTCATCAGCAGGGGGTCCTAAGACCTGGACCAGTGAGCTCCGAGTCTCCGCTCCAGCCGGCTGGACCTGCTTGGCCAGGGACATCCCCTGGCAGAGGACAGTACCTGTGTGCCCCGGGGCATTCACTGCAGGTCCTGGCCTTCGTGGAGGGCAACGGCAAGACGTCCTGAACTCGGACCAGCCCTTCCCTGAGCTTCTGAAAGCACATGCTCTGGGCAGCACCTCCCTGCTGTGCTTTGAGACGCCTGTGCACTCACAGCGTTAGCTGTTAAGTCGGGGACAGCTCGGGGCAGCACCTCTCCCATCAGGGGTGCCTGCAGCATCCAGGCAGGAAAAGCCCTCCCAGAGGTGGCTGATACAAGTGTACCCCTTTCTGTATCCAGCCTAACGTGGATGGTTCACGTCAAAACTGGGTTTGTACTGCAGAAAGCAGAGGCTTACTCAATACCATAATACATGATTTTTTTAAAAGGGGGCTCTCCATGATGAAACTGAGGCATCTGATTTTTTTTTTTTTTGAGAAGGAGTCTTGCTGTGTTGCCCAGGCTGGAGCATAGAGCACCATCACAGTTCACTATAGCCTCAAACTCCTGGGTTCAAGTGATCCTCCTGCCTCCTAGTCTCGAGTAGCTGAGACTACACGTAGGTGCCACCATGCCCACACAAGTTTTAAATTTTCTGTAGAGCCATGCATCTTTTTGTCCAGGCTGGTCCCAAACTCCTGGGCTCAAGCTATCCTCCCACCTTGGCCTCCCAAAGTGCTGGGCTGACAGGTGTGGGCCACCGTGCACAGCTTGAGGTTTCTGAGCTATAGTATTTTAGAAGAGCTATCTTCAGTGGCACAGACAGAGGACAGAAATGCAGCCAGTGGCCCCTGCTCTTGGGAGAATACACTGGACAAACTCCCATTAACAGGGAAGCTTCTGTTTGCATAGCGTCTGCTTCCCAGAGATGAGCCTGTGGCCCATGAACTCTACTCCCAAGACGAGATGAGCAGGAAGTCCCTAGAGAATCGAGGAACTGAGACTTCCCTGAGCCTCTCTCGCCAGCTGTGGGCCCACATGGTCTCTGCCCGTGGCACCCGCTTGGTTAATGAACGTCTGTGTGTGCAGGCCACACGCTGACTTCCCCACTGGCTGGTAGCGAGGCTGTGGGGAAGCCTGACCCCGCCCATCTCACACGTTTTGCCAGCTGCCTCTCTGCCTTTGGCAATCAGAGGCGTGCGGAACCTCGAGGGTGAGGGAGGGTGCGGGTCACGGCACCCAGAAACCCCAGCGGTGGATGCTCAGAAACTTCGAAGGTCAACCTGTGGTCCTGACAACTTCAGGACAATGACACTCCCAGGAATACTGTCACCAAAGGGGAAACTGAGTCAGGGCAGGCCGCTGCCTGCCTGCCTGCGTGGGTGGTTGAGCTGGTACCTAAGGACCTTCAGCCTGACTTTTGCCCAAAGCACCTGCCCTTCCAGCTCAGCACAGCTGCCTTTGAAAGTTCAGAGTTTTTAAACCGATAGATTCGATAGATTTCAGAGAAGGGCAAAGTGGAAATGGCTCCTTCGTGGTGGGAGTTGAGGCTGCCTGGGTCAAAAATACCTCCCCGCAGACCACCCTGATGCCCGAAGCTCCACTGTGAACACGCATGCGTGTGTGCACATGTGTGTGTGGGCCACACTCTGTCACTGTTCTAGAGCCAGATGCATGTGGCACAGAGCCCCGGGGCCACAGCTCACCAGCTGCAAGGCCTGGGCACCCGTCCCCGCATGACTCAGGAACCCTCTCACGCTCTGTCTTTGCACATGCTGTTCCCTGAGCCCAGAATGTTGTTCCAAGATTCTCGCACGGCTGGCACCCTCCATTTCTTCTGGCCATGGCTGACACGTCCCCTTCCTCACCTGTCTAAAACAATGTCCCCGGCCCCAGGCATTCTCAGCTGCTGGACGCTCACATTCTGCCTGCCTGCCTGCTCAGCTTTGACCCGCCTACCTAATTATCCTGGTCTGTTTCCTTCCACCACATGGCAGCTCCCTGAGGGCAGAGTTTTGAGCTGTGCTCAGCAACCCCAGGGCCTGACTCCATGCAGACAAGATGAAGGTTCATGGAGTGAACTGCTATCCCCCGGCCATTGCCCGGTCGGCTGAGGCTAAGGGTTTGGTGACAAGGGGGGATTATAAGATGGGCTGGCCCAGTGCTGCTGGCCCCACCCCGGCCTTCAGGCCGCATCCCAGGACACCTACATGGGTGATGGAACCACGGTACGTGATGGCGCTGTCCGAGGGCACCCGTGTGCTGGGAATGCCTTTGGTGATGCTTCCGCCTGGAACCGAGCCAAGAGTTGTCCCTGGAAGACACAAGATGTGGGGCTGCAGGGTATCTGTGGCCCTTCCCTAGGCCCCGGTCCTGAGAGCCACCCTGAGTGAGCCCCTGGTGACCCACAAATTGTGCTTGTTGTCTCAATGCAGAGGGAGTTTCCCTGCCCCTAAATGGTGAGGGAGATGGCAGTGAAGAGGGGCTCCCAGATCCCCTGGGAGAGGACATTTCCCAGCAGGTTTTGAATAAAGCGCCCCTTGGCCATTCAAGGAGCAGGGGCAGATGCCGGGGGCCCTCACCTCTCAGCACGGATGCCTCCTGGGCAGTGGGCACCCCCAGGCTCTCCGGCGGCCCAGCCTGGCCCCGTGGGGACAGCTGCTCCTGCTTCACTCCGCTGAAGGGTGCTGAGGACCAGTAAGAGGGGCAAGTCACGTGCTGCCAGGGCAGGCTCCTGGGTGGTCTGTCCCCACCCCACCTGAGCCAGGGGCTGGGGAGCACCACCCTCCCGCCATGTTCCAGCCAGGGCTGCTGAGCGGGGAACTCCCAGCTGCTACCTGCTGGCCGACCTCTCGTGGGCCCAGATGCCCCTTCCTCAACCCCTCCACCTACAGAAGAGCCAGAGCCCAGCCTGGGCCACCCAGGTGGATGGACCAGGAGCCTTACCCAGCTTTTTGGGGTCCATTTGCAGTGGCAGCCCCATGGTGACAGGGCCCACCGGGGCCTTGGCGTGCTCTGAGTAGGGGACATGGAGCTGGACTGACATTCCCTGCAGGGACGAAGTTGTGGGGTCACGGGGGCACCCTGGTCCCTCCCCTGACGCCCCTGTTCACAAGGCCCATGTGTGGGTCAGGGCCGGGGCTGCTGCCCAGCTGTGTGACGGCAGACAAGTCACTGCTGCTCCCAAGCCTTGGTCCCGTCCCCTGGGAAGGGGCTGCGCCCTCCAAGCCGCTGCACCTGCCCTTGCATTTCCCAGAGGGGGAAACAGGAGGTGAAGCGACTTGCCCAAGGCCACACAAACGGGTTCCAGAGCCTGTGCCCTCGACCGCAACACAGAGTGACCCCCCAGGGACGAGGCCCTGAGCACCTGAGGCAGGACCCAGCCAGCTCAAACCCCAGACGCCTGAGTGGCCCCAGATGACCTAGGTGCCCGAGAGCCTGGCTCCCACCCACACTGTAGCAGTCCCACTGCCCCGACTCTACAGACAGGAAGACCAAGCCCCTGAGAGAGGAAGGGCGGCCCCTCACCTGGGAGATGGCACCTATTGGCCTCTCGAGGACGCTGGGGTGCTTGGCAGAGGAGATGAGGGGAGGCGGGTTGGAGATGGTGGGTGGGCGTGGCAGGGCGGGCCGGGCGGTGTCGTGGAGGCTCAGGGGCAGCGGGTGACCTGGAGAGCACATGTCTGTCCACCGTGGGGCCCAGGAGCGGTCACACCCCTGCTGGACACACGCCCGGGGTGGCACTCCACCTCTTCCCTGTCCCGGTCAGGAGGTGCCCATCCAATCATGCCCCTGCCCTGCCCTGCCCGGCTCTGTCCTCATCAGTGACTCGAGTCCCAAGTGCAGACACCACTACCCCGAGGACGCCTCCCACCCCAACCCGCCGCCCAGGCCCTGGTCCAAGCCCTTCATCTCTCACCTGGACCCCTAACTGGTCTCTCCACTTCCGCTGCGGCCCCAGTAGTTCCTTCCCCTTCCAGGAGCCAAAGGGACCAGTCTACGAGTGCGAACGCTCCCCCTTGGTGGCTCCCCGCTGCCCTCAGGAGAGTCTTTGCCCCCGACTCGGCCTGCAGGCTTGCCTGCCCTGGCCCCTGGGTCTCCCCAGCTCACTGGGCATCAAGCTTTGGCAGTGGTGGCCGGACTGAGTCTCAGGCTTTGCCCGCCCTCTCCTGCCTCTGGACATTTGCACATGCTGTTCCCTCTGCCTGGCATGACGTTCCCTGTTCTTCTGACTCCCTTGGCCCACACATCCCTCGGGATCAGCCTTTGCGAACAGCCTGGTCTGCACGGGCCCCCAGCTGTGCCGCTTTACGGCTGGCAATGCCCAGCTGGAGTGTGGGACCTGGAAAGGGACCTGCACGGGACCTCCCAGCACCTGTGACCAGGCAGCGCCTCTCCTCCCTCCCCAGGCTCTCCTGTCTGCCCATTCTCCAGCTCTAAGCCGTCTTTGGAAAACACAGCTCCCACTGTGAGCCTGCCCCTCACCAGCTCCAGCGTCGGCTGTGGCTCCCTCTAGCCAGTGGCTTCCATCTCAGTCCTGAGGCGCTTTCTCAGATCTCCTCCTTCCCCTCCGCTGACCAGGCCGCCCCTCTAGCTGGGTCTCATCAGACTTTAAGAAGCTTCTGCACGCAGCTCAGCCAGCGCCAGCAAACAGCGGCTGTGCCCGGACTGACTAGAAGCCCCAGCTCGGGCAGGGCTACTCACCAGGTGGTGCGTAGGAGAAGGCGGAGGGGTCCGGGGCATGCGGGGAGGCCTTGATCACCTCACGGGGGGGCACGGGGAAGGGCAGGCCGGAAGTCCAGCAAGGGGGCTCCCCAGGCAGCTTCTGGGCCTCGGCGGCGAAGGCCGGGAAGAACACAGGCTTCTCTGCTGAGGGCAGGAGAGGGGCAGTCAGACCTGGGAGCCCCAGCTGACCTTGCTCAAATGTCCCTCCTGCACCCACAGTGGTGGCAGTCTGTGACAGCGTGGGCTCCGCTGGGAAGCCCCTGAGCCTGCCCGCCTGGGCGCGGCTCTGGAACCCCACGGTGTGTTGCTCAGCAGGGGAGCGGGGCTCGAGGCCTGGGCTGGGAGCTCTCAGCTGCCCCCGAGGACGAGAACGGGACCCGGTGGCTTTGCAACCCTAGAGGCGCTCAACCAAGCCCAGCGAGCCAAGGTCCCTGGACAGGCCTCTGAGCCAGGGGGCAGCAAACGGTAGCTCAGAGGGTCTGTCTGCCCTGAGTATTTTGAGACAGGGCCTCTCTGCGTCACGCAGGCTGGGGGCACTGCTGCCATCACGGCTCACGCGGTCTCGACCTCTGGGCTCAAGCGATTCTTTCACTTCAGCCTCTCAAGTAGCTGGCAATACAGGTGCCTACCACCACACCGTGTCTGGCTAATTTACATTTTACTTTTGTAGATATGGGGTCTTGCTATGTTGCCCAGGCTAGTCTTGAACTCTTGGGTTCAAGGGATCTTCCCAATTCAGGCTCCCAAGTAGCTGGGACTATAAGCATGTAACGCCACACCACGGTTGGCTAATTTCCTTTTTTTTTTTTTTTTTTTTTTTGAGACAGAGTTTCGCTCTTGTTACCCAGGCTGGAGTGCAATGGCGCGATCTCGGCTCACCGCAACCTCCGCCTCCTGGGTTCAGGCAATTCTCCTGCCTCAGCCTCCTGAGTAGCTGGGATTACAGGCACGTGCCACCATGCCCAGCTAATTTTTTGTGTTTTTAGTAGAGACGGGGTTTCACCATGTTGACCAGGATGGTCTCGATCTTTTGACCTCGTGATCCACCCGCCTCAGCCTCCCAAAGTGCTGGGATTACAGGCTTGAGCCACCGCGCCCGGCCAATTTCCTTTTTATTTTTGTAGAGATGAGGTCTTTTTTTTTTTTTTTTTTTTGAGACGGAGTTTCATTCTTGTTACCCAGGTTGGAGTGCAATGGCGCGATCTCGGCTCACTGCAACCTCCGCCTCCTGGGTTCAGGCAATTCTACTGCCTCAGCCTCCTGAGTAGCTGGGATTACAGGCACGTGCCACCATGCCCAGCTAATTTTTTGTATTTTTAGTAGAGACGGGGTTTCACCATGTTGACCAGGATGGTCTCGATCTCTTGACCTCGTGATCCACCCGCCTCGGCTTCCCAAAGTACTGGGATTACAGGCGTGAGTCACCGCGCCCAGCCGAGATGAGGTCTTATTATGTCGTCCTGGCTGGTCTTGAACTACTGGGCTCAAGAGATCCTCCCACCTCGGCCTCCAAAGTCCTGGAATTACAGGCCTGAGCCACCACGCCTGGCCCCACCGCCTGACTTTGTAAGCACACTCTGACGCGTGGTCACATCTGTCTATTTATTTATTGTCTACGGCAGAGGTGAGTTCTTGCCACAGAGACCCTCTGCCCCACAAAGGCTAAAATATTTACTTTCTGGTTCTTTGCAGGAAAAGTTTGCTGGCCTGTTCTCTACACAGTTTTGAAAGAGGTAAGCTGTGATGTGTGTTTGTGTGTGTGGGGGTGGATATGCGTGTGTGTGTGCATGTGTGTGGCTGTGTGCATGTGTGTGGATGTGTGTGCATGTGAATGTATACGTGTTCATGTGGGTATATGTGTGTGGGGATATATGTGGGTGGATGTGTGTGCATGTGGATATGTGTGTATGGATGTATGTGTGCATGTGGATGTGTGTGCATGTGTCTGGGTGTGTATGGGTATGTGTGTGGATGTGTGATTGTGTGCGTGTGTGTATGGGTGTGGATGTGTGTGCATGTGTACAGCGGATGTGTGCATGCGTGTGGATGTGTATGGATGTGTATGTGTGGATGTGTGCATATGCAGGTGTGTGTGTATGCGTGTGTATGGATGTGTGTGTGCAAGTGTGTATGGATGTGTGTATGGATGTGTATGTGTGCATATGCAGGTATTTGTATGTGTGTGTATGCGTGTGTATGGATGTGTGTATGGATGTGTGTATGGATATGTATGTGTGGATGTGTGTGTATGGATGTGTGTATGGATGTGTGTGTATGCAGGTGTGTGTGTGTGTATGCATGTGTATGGATGTGTGTATGGATGTGTGTGTGGATGTGTGTATGGACGTGTGTAGGATGTGTATGTGTGGATGTGTGTGTATGGATGTGTGTATGGATGTGTATGTGTGGATGTGTGTGTATGGATGTGTGTATGGATGTGTATGTGTGGATGTGTGTGTATGGATGTGTGTATGGATGTGTATGTGTGGATGTGTGTGTATGGATGTGTGTATGGATGTGGATGTGTGGGTGTGTATGGATGTGTGTATGGATGTGGATGTGTGGATGTGTGTGTATGGATGTGTGTGTAGATTTATATGGATGTGCGTATGGATGTGTGTGTGTGTGTGTGTGTGTGTGTATGTGCACGTCTGTGAATGTCGTGGCAGGCAGCAGGGGGGTTATGAGTCCAGTCTTCCAATGATAGCCACAGCGTCGGCCTCAGTTTGCTGAGTGGTACTCTGCACAGGCACTGTGCTCAGTACCCCACGGCCTGCATGAGCCCCGTGTTAAGCTCAACAGAGACTGCTGCCAGATCCATTTTACAGAGGGGAAACTGAGGTACAGACATGTCAACGGGCTTATCTGAGTTCACCAGCAAACAGCCAAGTCGGGCTCAGAAAGCCCCCACAGCTGCAAAGGGCAATCCCAAGAGGTGATGCTCTCTCAGGCTGCCACGGCTGACATGAACCAAAGCACATTCATTCATTTATTCTCACAGTACCCTACAAGGAACTGACTGTGATTATCCCCATTTCACAGATGGGAAACCGGAGGCTGAGAGGTTAAGCCACCTGGTCAAAGGCCCAAGCTAGCAAGTGGCAGATAGCAGCTTCTAAGCTAGGCACTGGGGCTGCAGACCATGGCCTTAGCCTGGATCGCTATGCCCGTGACAGAGAAGCGATGATTGGTCCTAGATTTCAGGCCTGGGGACAGCCTGTAAACTCAGCAGGGGCCAGGGGGCTCACGCCTGCCTTCATGGCATCCTCCCGTGAAATCTGGCCTCAGCTCTGAACCTCTCTGAGGACTGGTCCTAGGGGGAGATAACCGGCCAAGAAGCTGAACAGAGACACGACTTGGGGATGACGTAGCCCGCCGCCCCGGGACAGGAAAGGCGGACAGGTGTCACCTCTCAGGCCACCTCCAGATGAACAATGGCGGATCTGAGGGCTCACAGGGTGTGACGGGGAGGAGAGTGATGCCTGCTGTGAGCAGGGCAGGTGGGAAAGGAGGTCTGAGTGCCGAATTGCCCCCAGTTCTCTCCTTGAGGACTGAGTTTCCCCTGAATTTGTGCCCTGGTGAGGTGGGAGCCCACAGGAGGCGGGGGTCACAGACGCAGGGGAATTCTCCTTCTTACGATCCCCAGTGGAGGCACGCTACAGGGCCTGCAGAGACCTAGCCCCTCCCGCTACGCTGCCCTGGATGCCTCCGGTGCTTCCTCCAGCCCAGTTCAAGAGAGCTGGGGGCAGGGTGGAGGGGAGGGGCTCGATGCTGGAAGGCAAGCTGGGGCTAGGCCAGGCTGGGCGGGCAGCCGAGAGCCTGGAGAGACAACCTGTTCCTCCAGCTGGGCCCAGGGGGGCCCGATGGACCTGCCTGGCTGAGCTGCTCTGCCTGGGAGCCAGGGGCAGAGGAGGCTGCCCTCCTGAGAGACCAGAGAGGGAGCGCTGGGTGTCAAGTTCATGTGCGTCCCCGCGGGAACTGAGCTGCAAGCCAGGCTGAGCGAGAAAGGCATGCAGGGCCTGACGCCAGGTGCACCGTCCCCGCGGGGAATGAAGCCAGGAAACAGCAAGGCCCTGGCCACACCAACGAGCCGAGTGCCAGCCACAGGAACTGCTGGCCAGTAGCTCCCTTTCTCCCAGGATGAGGGCCCTCGATCTGGCTCAGCGGGACCTGGCTGGCGCCGTGCAGTTCCAGCCCTGCTCACATCTGACACTGGCCAAAGCCGTCGGGGCTCCCGACACGCCTACGCAGCTCCTTCCCGGGCTGGTGCCCCAAACCAGCAATGTCTCTCAAAGCCACGCCCCGGGCCGCACACTGGACCCTGGCCCCGGGCAGCCCAGCCCTCGTCGCGGGGCGTCCCGGTTCCAGCGACATCCCTGGCGTCATCCCCACACCGGGTTCAACGCCCTGCTGGCTTCGACTCCGAAGCAAACTCCTGACGCGCCCTTCCTTCCACCTCCACAGCCACCGGCGCAGTTCAGGCAGCCTCTGTCGCCTGCCAAGAGCAGCGCTGTGACCTGCTTCTGCCCTTGACTCAACAATGGCCAGAGAGAGCTTTCCAAAATATCAGTCAGATAACACGAGCCCCCTTCCCTCGCCGCAACACACACTTCAAAAGCCTCTGCCACACCTGAGACAAAGTCCCCTCTCCGCGGTGGCCTGAGAGGCCCTACACAATGTGGTCCCCCGTCCCCTTGCTGTCCCACCACCCTACTCTTCCCCAGCCACCGCCACCCCTGGCGGCTCCTCACTCACCCCGAGCACGTTCCCACACCAGGGCCTCTGCACACGCTGTCCCCTCTGTCTGCCACACTCACCCCGAGATCTGCCAAGGGGCGCTGCCCCCCACCTCCACAGGGTCCTTCCCGGAGCCGCCTCTTCACTCAATCTGTTTTGTTCCTCGTGGTGGACAAACAACTCTAAAACCACCTTGCCTGGCTACGTGTCCCCTGGTTTAACATCCTCCTCACTGACAGAAACAGCAGCTCCCCAGAGCAGAGACTTCTGTTTCTCCTGCCAAATTCCCACTGCCTAGCATGGCGCTTGGGGCCTTGGGTGTTCAACAAATGTCCTGACCCAGCAGCCTCGGGCAGACCCTGGAGGCGGAGGCTGCCGTGAGCAGAAATCGTTCCGTGCCACTGCACTCCAACCTGGTGAGAGCGACACTCCCTCTCAAATAAATAAATAAATAAATAAATAAATAAATAAATAAATAAAGAGAAGGGGATGCCACACCCGAGGCGGTGGTGAGGGCGAAGCTGGCGGCAGCTCTGATCGCCCGGGTTCATCCCTGGGCTGTGCGGTCAGGGAGGCTGGCCTGGGGTCCTGCTACCCTCACACCTTGGGAGCAGCCAGCCAGCAAGCGCCCGGGCTGGCCCAGGGTGGGTGCCTCTGGGGAGGCCGCCCCCAACGCCTGCAGGGTACCACAGCACCTGCTGCATGCCAGGCTGACCTGGAGAAGCTGCCTCTTCGGGGACACAGGCTGGGACTTTCTTGGGCCCAGTGCGAAGGGAGGCAGAGACTGAAGATCCAGAGAAAGAGCAACCACACCCGCCTGTGTCCCGACCTTGAGTTTCACGTGATGATAGTGAGGTGTGCCCGGGGCAGCCACCGTGACACAGCTGCTCGAGAGTCACCCTCCACTCTGGCTCCTGGTGAACCCAGAGACCTTGGCCTGGAGCAGGGTCAGGATGCGAGCTGGCAGGTGGGGCAGCCCTTCCTGCCGAGGCCCCAGTGCTGCGGCCGGCTGGGTCCTGGGCCAGAAGCTCCCACGTGGGCTGAATCACATGGAACCAGAGGCTGGGCCGCTGATACGATTTTGTGAATTCACAGTGCTTTTGAAAATTCTGAGAAGTTGCCGGTGTTGAGAAACCAGGGGGCTTTCACACAAGAAGGTCGTTTCTGGCTTTGCTGGAAGAAGCACTCCAGGCCTGTTTTGCCTCGAGGTGACTCTTGGCCAAGGCCAATATATGCCCACTTTAGAGAAACCATGAGTGCTCCAATTTGCCGCAGCCCCCACCATTCCCAACTGCCTCCCCTGCCCAACTGTTCCATTCGTTTACTTTGCTGTCCCTACCACTGTGGCCTTAGGGTTTGCAGCAGCTGCTCTGGACACATAAACGTCCCTTGCCCGTCAGTCCCCTGTTGTCCCAGCCCCCCCGGTGTGCACTCACCCTCCTTGTCAGTGGGGGGCGCTGGGCTCCTGCTCTTGCCCCGGGGGCTGCTGCCGGGCTGCTGAGGGGCCTCGCTCTCCGGCTGCAGGTGCTGCTGTGGCGGTGGAGCCGGGGCGGCCGGCTTAGGGGGAGCTGCGTCCTCCTGGGGGGGCTCATGGACTTTGGTGACCTGCTGGGGGAAGGAGGCAGGAGTGAGCACCCACCGAAGGCGTCTGAGGAGGACAGCGTCAGGCAGAGACCTGCACGTGACCAACCTGGAGATCGAGGCCCGGGAAAGCCAGTGACAAGCTCTCAAGGTCCCAGGTGGGGCAATGAGGGGAGCTCTTAGCACAGAGCACACTGGGAGCCCACCCCCAAAAAGCCTGGCCCGGCTGCCGGGTGATGGACTGGAGGCTGGAGCCCGCCGTTACCCTCTCACCTGGCTCCTTCCCTGGACCCAAATCCTCTGGGTCTCAGGGAAGCCAGGACTGAACAACAGGACTGTGTGGGCCTCGGGGACTGGGCAGCAGCAGCCTGGACATCCTGAGCCCATCACTCAAAGCCCCGAGGGACCACAAGCCTGGTCAGCTTAGGGTCTTTTAGCCTGCAGCCCGCCCCAGCTGCATCCAGGCAGCCCTGACCCACCTACCGGGAGAAGGCACCTCTCCTGCCCACGTGGCTGGGAGAACCTTCCAGGGGACGTTCCCGCAGGGTCAGAATCGGTAGTCCCCCCCTCTTCCCTGGCCAACGTAGTGCTACAGCTGAGTGAGCGGGGGGAGCCTCCTGCCTCCCCACGACCCAGCGTCTAACGTGGGGGTTCAAGGGTGCTGGAGGGTGGAAGGGAGGAGGCTTTAGGCCACCAGTCCCCGCCTTCACTGGGAGCCCGCCTGGCGCTCCTGCCAGCTTCCCCAGCTGTTCCTCCCTCAGCCCCGTGGGGCTTTCTCCGGGAAACAGGCGCAGACGCATGCTCCCGCTCGTGGGCTTCTGTCTTGATGAACGGTAAAGTCAAGGTCAGGGTGGGCTCGGTGGGGCCTGGGCGCGCGCACTCACAATGGGGGGGATGGCAGCTGCTCGCTGCTTCAGCTGCTTCAGGTCCAGCGGCTTCTGGGGCGAGGTGTTGGCCCGGGGGTCGCCAGTCGGGGTCAAGAGGCTGGGCCTCGGGGACAGCAGCCTGCGGAGACATGAGCACCATCAGCTGGGGGTCGACAGCCAGACTCTTGCAGGGAGGGGGCTGCCCAGTTTCGATGGCCTCTCTTGTCTCAAACCCTAGGGACAAGGCTAAGGCCCTGAGATGGAGGCGGCTGTGCAGGTCACCCCGACAATGTCACCGTTTCTCTTGGGGAAACAGACTGAGATTTGGGGCCCAGGGAGGAGACGCATGAACGGGGGACAGGCGGCTCCTCGTGCACTCCCTGGTTCTTGTAGGCCCCATTAGGGGCCAAGCTGGCCTCCTGCCCCAGCCCAGAGGCCAGCCAGGCAGGGATCAAACATCCCCCAAGAACGTTTCCCCAGGCAAGGAAAATCCCAGAGAAGCCCAGACCTGGGCCCATGGCAGAAGTCTCCAGACGCTGCCAGAAAACCAAAGAATCAGCCCAACTCAGGGACAGAGAAATGAAGACGTTCACCAAGAGATTCCTCATCCCTTGAATCTGAGAGGCTCAGGTGCCAGGGCAGGGCGGTGGGCACAGAGCCGAATGAGCTCCGGTTACTGGAGGCAGGAGTGGGGGAGCTGCACCCACTTCCTGGAATCTCTCCCGCACGCTACCCACGAAGGACGAGGACATAAAAATGAGGGCTTAGGCCACAGGCTTTGTGCGGAGGGGCAGGCAGGGTGTGTCCACTGTCTACCAATGAGCCACAGTGACGGTTCCTCTGTCCGCTACTGAGATGCACAACCAGAGGCCAACACAGGGCAGACAGTGCCCAGCAGAGCACGCGGTATGACTCCCAAACTGCTCAGTGGGGGCCGCTTCCTTCAGGAAGCCTTCCAGGTTTTCCAAGATCCCAACCCTGGGCACAGCACCTGCCATAATTCCCACCTGGCTCCCCAGTTGGCATGAGGCCTCTGAGGGCAGAAACTGGGTCTGCTCCAGCCTGAGAACCCTCCGCCTGTCCAGCGTGGCTGCCCGGGGTCTGCCCAGTTCCCATTCCCTCCTGCAACCTACATTTGCTAGGGCTAGAGCAGCTGGTCTGCGTTTTGGGGTAAGCAGGTGACGCAGAACCCTGTCCCTATCCCAGGGCTTCCAAGCCAGTGAAACGACCACATGGCGGGCATGAGGGCACCAGCCATGGGCCTGGAATTCAGGCAAAACTTCCGGGTGCTGGAAACCGGCAGGTACTATCAGCACAGCCCCCACTCTGTGCTGTGACCACAGTGAGAGTCCTACGTAGACCGTCAGCCGCAACCTACAGGCCTCGCAGTGAGAGCTGGGACAAGGCTGACAGAGCCCACAGCACCCCGGTGCCCGGCCTCCAGTGTAGGATGCCCAGTGCCCGGAGCACCCAGCTCCTTCCTGCAGACGAGCAGGGCAGACGCCGGGGGTGCTGAGGCCCCTGCCGGCAGTCCCCTCTCCACTCTCTGCCATAGCAGGACCACAGGGCCACCGGCATGAGACCAGCCTTGCTGCGGGTACCAGCCTGCTGCCCGCATCTGCCACACGCTTGGCTGAGCGGGGAGAGCAGACACAGACTCAGTGGCACCTGCTGAGGCTGCCCACGGCGCACAGGCGGAGGCTGGATAAGGAAGGTCACCCTGACTTCTGCAGGCACCTCCGCCGTCCCCGCCGCCGGCCCGCTCCTCTCCCTGCTCCCTCCATCTGTGCAGACCCTGCTGGCTCTCTGAGGACCACCTAAAGCCTCTCCTTCGGCCGCTGCCCTGCCTTGCTCCCAGGACCTGGGCCCAGTTGTACTCTCCCCACCATCCTCAGGCCAAGGAACCCTGAGCCGGGTCCAGACACAGATAGTGTCACCTGTCCCAGCCTTCTCCACCTGCGGCTTCCACCGCCGCCGGCCCCATGCCCCTCCCCTCAGGTTTACCTAGCACCATCCCTTTCAATCAGCTCACACTTGCAAGCTTGCATTTAAAAGAGAACACGGCGCAGTCGGCGAGTCCTCATTGCCTCAGGCCCGGCAGCTCCACTTCTAGGCACACGCCAGGGAAATGAGGGCAAATGTCTACCCAGAAACCCACAAGTGCCCGTCTCTGCAGCACTGCCCACAGCAGCCAGAAGGCAGAGACAACCCAACACCCGCCAAGAGAGGAACAGGGAGGAAAAACCCTGCCCTGTCGGCACAGTGGAACACTCGGTCCTCGAAAGGCAGGGGGGTGGGGGAGGAGCTATGCCCAGAAGCTCTGAGGCTCTCAGCAGGCACCATCTGGGGGCACACAGAGGCCCAGATCCCTCTTTCTTGAGCCCCCAGAGCAAGGTGGGAGCAAGTGGGGACTGTGGTCAGGGAGACAGCGCTTTACAGTTTACAAGAGGCCTTCTGATGCCAGCCAGACCTCCCTCATGGGCAAGGAAGGCCGTGGCCAACAGCAGGGCTGGCTTCAAGTCCTCGAGGGGAATGAGGGTCCTAAGCCCCCGGAGGGAGCAGCAGCCGATGGAGGAGAAAGGTGGCAAACGCCCAGAGCTCAGGGCCCATCCAACTGCCCTTCATCCCACAGCCATGCTTGGGGGGGGCGCCACCTCCAGAAGCCCTCCTGGCTGGTTCTCCCCACCCTCTACTCTCTCTATTTTTATTTTATTTTCGGAGACGGGGTCTTGCTCTATTGCCCAGGCTGGAATGTAGTGGCACAATCTTGGCTCACTGCAAGCTCTGCCTCCTGGGCTCAAGTGATCCTACTGCTTCAAGTCTCCCCTACTAGCTGGGATTACAGGCACTTGCCACCACACCTGGCTGATTTTTTGGTATTTCAATAGAGATGGGGTTTCACTATTTTGGTTAGGCTGGTCTTGAACTCCTGACCTCAAATCATGCGCATGCCTTGGCTTCCCAAAGTGCCGGGATTACAGGTGTGAGCCACTGTGCCCGGCCTCTATCCTTTGTTTTCTTGGAAGGCAGCTGCTTCTGTTTTCCTTTCTGAAGGCCTGGGTGGGACGAGGACTCTCAGGGCCTGGCACGGCGTGTGTGTAAGGTAGGGGCCCCGCTCTGCCTACCCAGCCCTGCAGTTGTGAGCAAAGGCTCGAATCTCCCCTTTGACTGTGTGACTTTGCCAACTGTGCCTCAGTTTCTCCTCTGTAGAGTGGAGATGAAAGCAGGTGCCGCCTTTGAGGGCTGTCCGTGGGTGGGTGCGGGGATGCTGGAGACGAGCCCGTGGGGCTGAGTGGGTAGGGCCACCTCCTCACCGCTGCTTCATTCCCACTTGGGAAGGCCAGGGTGGGGGGGCACGAGACCGGGGAACAAGGGCCGGGGCACAATCATCAGGAACATGCTGGGCGTGCAACAGTATGTCCCCTCTTCACTAAGCCCCTGCCTCAGTTTCCCCAGGATCATCAGACTGTGACAGTCCTTGCTACCACCCTAGGGCTGGGAGTGGGAGGGAGGGCTGGTTTGTGAACGGCATCCCGTGCCTCCCCAAGGCCCCAAGATAGAATCCTGATGCGTCACTCCCACCATGGGGCCTGTCCACCTCTCTGACCCCTAACCCCCTCTTCCCTGGGCCGCTCACTCCACTGCACTCCCTGCCACAGGCCCCTCTGCACTGCAGTTCCCGGGGGTGGGGGGACTGGCTTTCTCTCACACTAAGGCTCTTATCGCCCTCCAGTGTCACCTCCCCAGAGGCCGTCCCCCCGACCAGCTCACTCTCCCGTCCCCCATGCCTCAAGACCGGACCACTGCACTCCAGGCCTGGGCGACAGAGTGAGACTCCATCTCAAAAAAAAAGAGTCCAGAACGGGCCAATCCACCAAGACAGAAAGGACATGAGTGGGTGCACGCATCCCCCACTCAACCCGTAAACAACGGCTTTTCTTCTCCACCCCTCACCAGAATCTAGGGGCCTGGAGTCAGGGCCTCTTCTGTGCAGTTTCCAGCACCCCCAATGCCTGGCACATGCTGGTGCCATCAGTCACTTGTGGAACTAAGTAACAATGGTGAAATTGCCATTTGATCTTCCAAAATGCCAGGGGCACGGCTGAAGGAGCTGCTTTCCAGCCCCGTCTTGGGGTGACCTCTTGGGGGGGAGGTGTCCCAAAGCAGATCCAAAGGAGGGCAGCTCTTCCCTCACTGAGTGCCCGCGTGGCCTGGCGCTGGCCTGACATTAACTGAGTTATTCTTGTGATAAGCCATCCACGCCCACCTTACAGATGAGAAAACTGAGGCTTGGTGCAAGGGACTCCCAACGCCAGGCCCTGCCAAAAAGCACCGAGGCACCTTCTCTTAAGGGTAAGAGAGGGGAGGGCAGGCAGGCTCGGGGGTTTTGCAATCGAAGCCACTATCTCTGGTTGTCTGCCAGGAAATCACCCAGGCAGAGCTGCCTCGCAGAAGTGCTGGCGGGCCGAAGGAGAATGTGATTTTCTCTCTCCCAACGTCACCCGGGTGGGGTCCCGGGTGACATCTTGCGTCCATCTAGGAACGTGGAGCTCCCCCGCTGGGGCTAACAGGCGAGAGGGAGGGTGCTGGGCAGACAGCCGGGAGCAGGGGTCTCCGGGGGGCCCGCCCGGCCCGCCAGCCCTTCCTGGGAGGCCCTGGCCACCGGGGCCTACTCTGACGCAGCTCGTCCGCGTCCTCCAGCGCCCGCCCGACCCTGCGCAGTCGTGGCCGGCAGAGGGAGGGGTGGCAGGCTGCCGGCCAGGACGAGGTCAGCAGGCTGGCCGGAGTCCAGCCTCGTTCACTGAGAGGGCAAGGCAGGCTCCAAGGGTGGGGGCCCAGGTGTCCGGATTCCCGGCCGAGGACTCCAGCTCCCCGGGGACTGCATGCTGGATGCGGGGCAGGGGGTGGACGCACGCCAGGCCCAGCTGGGGAGGGAGGACATGGCCCTGGGTGGGGCTGCAGGGGAGAGGACGGGAGGCTGTGAGTGCCCTGCGGGGCCTCGGGCCCAGCCTGAGCGTTCTGGGGATGGACAGGATGTAAGCCGCCCCCCTGGCTCCCAGCCTGGCCGGCCACCCGCGCCCAAAACGCAGACTCTGGGAGGCAGCTTATCAGCGGGGCCACCCCGTGACCTCAGCGCTCCCCCCGCGAAGGCAGGCACAGTGTTTCCATGACTCTGTCCCCACAGCCAGTGCGAGCAGTGTGGCAAGCCATCCGCCCTGACCCCGATACCCAGGCACAAAGGCCCTGGCTGCCTGCCTCTCAGGGCCAACCCAGCCGTGCCATGAGCACTGTCTTCCAAGCTGGGACTGTCGGGCAAGAAGCTTGGGCGTTCGGTGCCCTCAGAAACCTGCTGGCCAGCCCTTTGCCCATCACACGGCCAGGGCCAGGCCACCCACTTCTCACACACATGGGCACCGTTCCTGTCGGCAGGGGTCCTGGGGACCCCAAGATTTCGTTCCGTGAAAACTATAGAGATCCAGGCGGAACTGAGTTCCTAGTGAATGCCCTAAAGCTTCCCCCTTTAACACGGCCCAGGGTGAAACCCAGGGCAGAGACAAGGGCCCCAGGCAACCCCCGGGGTCAGATTCTCCTCCCTTGCTGGCTCTGACGGGACTGTTCCAAGGGACTTGGGAGGGAGGAAACAGATCACACTGTAGTCAAAATAAAACGGCCCGCCTGCCCCGCCAGAAAACAGTCCCTCCAGTCGGCCAGACGTGGGCAGGGCGCAGCCTCCTTGAGCCTGCCCTCTGCTGCGCAAGATCAGCGCTAATTTGGGTGGCCGTCTTTGGTGCTAGACTGGAGGCCTGGGGGCCCAAAGCATCTGTGCTGAAAATGGTTAAAAGGGGCAGTTCTCAGGAATGTGGGGTCAGAGGCCAGAAAGGAAAGAACACACCTCGGAGACTTCGGCATCCAAACAGGACGGCACTGGGGTCCTCCAGGTCACCCCAGCTGAGTGCCTGAGCGCTGGGCCCTCGGCTGATGGGAGATGAACCACTGAAAACACACTGAATCTGTGGCTTCCCCCCACCCCCACGGCTGCCACGCTGAATCTGTAGCTTCCCGCACCCCCTCCATGGCCGCCACGCTGAATCTGTGGCTTCCCCCTACCCCCGTGGCCACCACGCTGGCATCTCCCTCGCAGGCCCCAGGGAACCTGCAGCTGCCTCCTGATTGCGCCACCCACCCCAGCAAATCCCCACATGGTTTCAGGGGTAAATCACATCCGGCTCTCTTGAGAGAGGCTCAGAAAGGCCTTCTCACTGCCCTGAGAACAAAACACAACCCCTACCTGCAGGGGCGAGACTCAGTGCCCCACCCCCGAGAGAGCTGCTCCCGGTCCTGGCTGCCCACCCTACACTGCCAGGCTGCCCCCACCCGAGCCCCCTCGCTCCACCCCTCAGCACGTGAATCCACCAAGCTCATCCCCACCTAGGGTCTTCGCCTTTGCTGTTCCTGCCACATCAAGGGTAGAACCGTCCCTCCCAGAGAAGGTGCATTCCAGTCCTAACCCGGGTCCCTGTGAATGTGACCTTATTTGGAAATGGGCTGTTAGCGGGTATGATCAAGTTCAGATGAGGTGGGACTAGATTAGGGCAGCTGCTCATCCAATGCCTGCTGTCCTCAGAAGAAAATGTGGACACAGAGATGCACGGGGCAAAGGCCACGTGATGGCAAACGCAAAGACAGGGTGGCGTGCCGGGGAACTATGACTGCCCGTGGCAGCCGGGAGCCAGACCAGGTGGGACGGAGCTGCCCAGAGGCTCAGGGGGTGCGGCTTGGCCTGTCTGGGCGCCCAAGCTCCTGCCCTCCAGGGCCGTGTGTTTCAAGCCGCCTGGCTCATGCTCCCTCGTGAGAGCGGCCCTAGGAAGGGAGCAGGCTGCCTGGCACACTCTCCCCAGGGCGGCCTGGGCTGCCTCCTCTGTCCAGATCTCAGCTCGGATGTCACCTCCTGGGGAGGTCCTCCCAGCCACGCCCCTGCCCCTCCCAGCCTGCATCTCATTCCTGGACTCTGAGTCCGCCCCCCTCACCACACCTCAGGCTCCCCCAAACCAGGCCGAGCTGGATGGGGTGCGGCTGTCTAAATAGCCAGTGGCTGCTCAGTGTCTGCAGACAAAAGTCAAGGTCAGCGCTGCCTGGCGCCCACTCACCGGTTCTTGTCGCCACCCTCAGGCTCATCCACCTCGTCCGCACTGCACGTGGCACTGGAGTCGCTGTCCTGGGGGGCGCCTGAGCCCTTGGCCACAGTGGCCCTGCCGCTCCCACACTCCTTCTTCTCTGCCTTGAGCGTTCCCTCAGCCGTGGCCTCGGTGGCCTCCGTGGCCTTGTCCTGGGCCGGAGCCTCCTCGGCTTCCTCCGTGCACTCGCTCTTGGGGGGCTCCTCGGCCTTCCCTGTGTCCACTGCCAGATCCTCGGCCACGGGGGGCTTCTGCTCCTCCCCCTCCTCTGCTGGGGGCACTGCTGTGGCCTCCTCCTCCTTCTCCTCCTCCTTGGGTACCACAGGAGGGGGTGTGGAGGGCGATGGCGGTGCTGGTGGGGGCGTGGGGGCTCCGGTGGCTTCAGAGGCCGGGGTGGGCTCAGTCAGGGCTGGGACATCCTCTGGAGGTGGGGTGGGTGGCTCTGGGGGCGGCTCGTCGGTGCCCAGGGCGGTTGGGGGCTTCAGCCCGTTCTGCCCTGTGTCCTTGGCTGCCTCAGCACGAGGGGATGGGATGCTCTCGGTGTCTGAGCTGTTGTTGACGGCGGCTGTGCAGGGCGAGAAGGAAGAGGACATGAGTGGGGTCTGGGTGGCTCCAGGAGAGATGCAGGCACAGCCTTGCCCATGGCCCTGACCCTTGGGATGAGGCCACTCTGTCACCTGACGCCAAAACAGCCCTGAGGGTCCTATACACCTGGGCCCCTGCCCGGAGCCCCACCCCTGAGACAAAGCCGCTGGCCAGGCCCCTACCCACGGACTGACCCTGCTGCCATGACCTGGTGAACTCCCAACCCAGGACCTCCTGGTGGTCAGCACCCAGACAGATGGAGACAGCCTGAGGCCTTCGTCCGGGGGGGTCTCCGTGTTCTCATCTGAGCTCCAGCCCTGGCTCTGCCCTACACTGGCTGCGTGCCATGGGAAACTCAGGTTACCTCTTGGGCCTCAGTTTCTGAGCTCCAGCCCTGGCTCTGCCCTACACTGGCTGCGTGCCATGGGAAACTCAGGTTACCTCTTGGGCCTCAGTTTCCCCATCTGTGGAATGCAACAGTAGTTCCCATTCTCACAGGGTGGAGAAGCCGGCGAGTGTGACAGCCCAGTGCCCGCCTGCTGTTGCATCATCGCCACCATCATCATCACGTGGCAGTGTAGAACAGGACCAGTGCACTCGAGGGAGCCCCAGGCATGGCCCACGCCAATGCCAGCAGGAGCGCGATCCGTGCTGACGGACTGGCAGGATGAACGCATGCGCCCAAGGAGGGCGAGGGGACCCGGCTGCAGTTCCGGCCCTCTAGTCCCCAAACCCACACCAGCCTCTTCTTTGGGGCTCAGTGTCCCCCATTTTCTGTAAAACGGGGATGCTTGAAAACCCCTGCATTTGCTATCGGGGAAATCAAACCCAGTGGAAGACCGAAGTGTAAACACCAGGGAAAATCAATAAAGCAGCGGAGACGGGAAACTGGTCTGCAGGAGGGAGCCTGGGACCAGCATCGGGAACAGCCACCAGGCTGGGAAGGAAGCCCAGAGGCAGCGGAGCACAGACGGTGGCGCTCACAGAAAGAGGCGTGTGGCCAGAAGCGGTTTCCTCGCAAGGGCCCGGGGATCTCGGGATGCCCTCCCGGGCCCGGCCCTGCCCCTGCCCCCCCGGGGCCAGCCGGCCACATCCGTACCTGGGCCACTGCATTCCCCTCTGGGCACCTCATTCCCAGAGGCATGTAAGGCTGGAAGGAAGTCAGAGAAGAGTTAGAAGCGAGGCGGCAGCAAGCGGTGGCGGGGAGGGAAGCGCGGCCGGGCCTGCCGGGAGGGGCCTGGACCACACGACAGGGAGGCCTGGCTGCGGCTTCCTGGGGCTGCTCACTCTCCTGCCCTGACCGCCCTTCTGCTTGGACCAATGAGCCCTCTCCCTGCGGGCTCTGGCCCTCCGCAGGCCGCTCCAATGGCCTGTTCCAGGCCAGCGAGTAAAGGGGTTGTTCAGGGTGAAAAGTGAGCCTCAGCACCCCAGGTGTCCTTGCCCAAGTCATCAGCCTCCTGGTTCCAGGATCCCAGGATGCCTGGGGTGGGAGGTGCTGACCTCAGGGGTGGGCAAGGTTGCAGGGAGAGGCTTTTGGGGCTGCCGAGGCCCCTTCCAATCCCGCAGCCTCTCCTGCTTCTTGCGTCCCTTCAGGCCCTAGAGCAGAGGCCACCCCTTTCAGAAACAATAGCAGCGACAGCAAGGCAGGCTGTGTGCAGGCCGGGCCATGCCACGTCTCCACGGATGACTCCTTTAAGACCTCTCATCTGCAGATGAGGAAACGGAGGCAGGCAGGGTCACGCCGTGGAGGGGACAGCACTGAACCAGGTGTCCTGTGTTCCGAACCCCTGGCCTTCCGGCCCCTGCCCCTGCCTGGTGACTTGAGCCATGTCATTCCCTTCCTTCCACAGTCAGAGAACAGGGCGGTGGGAGGCCAATGCGGAGGGCTCCGGGACCAGGGACGAAACCTCTGGGGTCTCAGTTTGCGCATCTACAGAATGGGCAGTGAACGCTCGCTCTTAAGGTGATCAAGAGGGTCTGGGGCGGGAGCCAGCATGGGAAACGCCCCGAGGCCTGTGAGATGCAGGTGGCTGTACCCCTCTCCGAATGTTTCTGATTCAGTAGGTGTGGGCTGGGGCCCGAGAATCAGCACTTCTAACAGACCCCAGGGAACACCGGCCACCGCTGCCCTAGAGCCCGGGAGGGCCGCTTTGTGCAGCGCCTGACACACAGTAGGTGTTTAACAAGGGCAACGATAAAACCACCGAAAACCAAAACCAAAACCACACCAGATGGCCTTCTTTCCTTTCTGCCCGCAGGTTCCCAGTACCAGGCTGCCTGGGTTTGAATCCAGGTCACCAAATGGGCCTGGGATAAGCCCGCTATGCCTCAGTCTCCCCAGCTGTAAAATGGGGATGACAGTAGCACCTGCTTCTTTTACTATGAGCATTATTGTAACTGAGACTCCACTGGCCCAGGGATCGCTCCCCGTCTGCACTGGGGAACAGGTTGAGATGCAGGAGGCACTTCCCACTGCCCTGGGGAGGGCCCACAGTCCTGCTGGGGCTGGCTGGGTCTCCTGGGAGAGTCCAGCAGGGCAACCTCAGGCTCCAACCCAGCTCGTGCCTCCCCTCCCCATCCTGAGCACAAGAGACAGGTCACATGGTGCACGCTGGCTGCGCGGGCAGACCCCAAGCATAGCGGTTATGTGCACGGACATTCCACAGGAGGGGCTCCCCTCTCCCTGGGTCTCAGTCGTCCTTAAGATGGGGTAACACCCTGGCTGGGCACCAGGAGGCTTCATCAGCCTCTGACCCGCTGTCCCCGAACTCTCAGAGCAGCTACAGAAGACCAGAAGCCCCAGCTCCGGCTAGCTCAGCCCTCCCTCCTCCCCCACCCAGCAGAGAATGCCCCTCCCCATCCCTACTGGGCTATGTAAGCCCTGCGAGTGATGAGGGGTCATCACCACACACTTCTGGGCAGCGTCTGCTCTGGTTTTAATGTGCAGCCAAAGCTTGGCTTCTTAAAATGCTCCCACCAAGCCTGCATCCCGCCCATTCAGATAGCTGGAGGGACGCTGACAGAGCGGACGGAGTTTCTGCTCCCAGGGTATTCTCTCTTCCTGCCTACAGACCCAAGATCCAAAACGGGGTGACCCGAGGGACTCAGGGCCCCGGCCTTCCTTCCATCAGACACTGGCCAAGCTTCTGGCCAACTTGGGCCAGAGAGAACCAAGGCTGGTGGGGAGGCCGGCTTGAGATGACAGTCACCCAAGGGCCCAGTTACCCATTTCCAGCCAGGAGCTGGGATTCTGGCTGGGGAAAATCTGCAGGCTGGAAGAACCTGAATTCATCTGCAGGCCTGGCTTATGGAACCAGGAGGAGACCTGCACCTTCTGCCAGGGAGAAGCTGGGTGTTCAAAGGCCAGAGGGACGGAGGACAGGAGCCACAGGAAGGACAGCGGACAGGAGCAGGAGGCAGGAGGCTGCCTTACCCAGGACGGAGGCTGCTTGCTTCTCCTTCAGAGAGTCAGGAGGGAGAGTCAGGGACGCTCAGCTGAGGAGGGGGCGTCTCCAGGGGCCTTCGGTCACCCCACAGAGGCGCAGGGTTGGGAGTCGGAGGTGGATGGACTTGGGACTGAGAGCACAGGGCCTGGTGTGGGCAGCCTGCATTCAGCTCCGGGGTCTGTAAACGCTGATTATGAAGTTGAGCCACGTGTTATCCGGAGCCCTGACTCTGAAGTGGAGTTCGTGTGGTCCCAGCCCTGCCTCTGAGGGGCCTCGGGGGACCTGCCAGGGCTCCACGCACATGATGGCTCCACGCACATGATGGCTCCACACACTCTCTTCTGCAGCACTCACCTGGTGGGGCATCCGTCTAGTCTACGGCTGGTGCAACCAACACACTCCGTGGTGCCCGCCCAGGGCACCTGGGCCCAGACCTTTAAGTGCCTGAGCCTCAGTTTCCCCACATAGAAAATGGGGACATCAAAGAAGGGGATCGAATTATGTATCACCCAAATAGGGACACTTGGGAGTAAAATGAGGCACTACAAATGACCGTGTAACTTTTACAATACGTATCAACTGACAGATAGGTTCTATTTACGCTGGTTACCTTGTAAGAGAGTTCCGGTCGAAAAGCTATTTCCGGGCCTGGTGTGGTGGCTCACGCATGTAATCCCAGCACTCGGGAGGCTGAGGTGGGCAGATCACCTGAGGTCAGGAGTTTGAGACCAGTCTGGCCAACATGGTGAAACTTGTCTCCACTAAAAACACAATAGCTGGGTGTGGTGGCACGCGCCTGTAATCCCAACTACTTGGGAGGTTGAGGCAGGAGAATTGCTTGAACCCGGGAGGTGGAGGTTGCGGTGAGCTGAGGTCGCACCACGGCACTCCAGCCCGGGCGTCAGAGCGAGACTCCGCCTCAAAAACAACAACACAACAACAACAAACCATTTTCCAAAGTAAATTTTTTCTAGACCGTAACACCCGAGAGGGTGAAGGACAGCATCCTCAGGTCACCCAAGCGTGAGACTCACGGGCGACAGAGGGGCTGAGTGAGGCTTGGGTCTCTAGAGCAGCTGGTTATTCTTGGGATTGTGGAGATCATCCTCCTCGGGCCCGTGACTGGTAAGTTTCTGGCATGCCAGGCCCTCCCCTTCCAGGGAGTCACGGTCCCTTCTAAGGACCCAGATGACTCAGGGGAGAGGAGGCTGCCGGCGGAGTCAGTTCCCACCGCACCCTTCCTCAGAGCGCGGACCCACAGCCGCCAGCCACCGCTGCCAGCCACCGCCGCCAGCCACCGCAGCTACCACCGCCGCGCCAGCCCTCACCTTCTGCCTCCTCCGCCATCTCCTCCTCGTTCCCACTCGCACCCGACGCCTCCATCTCCTCGTCCTCCACCACGGGCGGGAACGCGGCCTCCTCGCTGGCTGCCGCCGGGGCTTTCTTCTTCTTCCTCCTCGCATTCCTCTCCTTCTCCTGGGGCGCAGGGAAGCAGCAGATCAGGGCTGGGGCCTGGGCTGTCAGCCCAGGGACTCCCCATGCCCAGGCCTCGCCACAGGTTCGAGGGGCAGTGATCCCAGCCACGTGGCAATGAGGGCATCCGTCCCCCCTCACGCCCCACCATGGCAGCCAAGCATGGTTATTCTTCCATGGAGCCCCAGATACACTCCAGGTAAAGGCTGGCCCCTCGGCCGCCCTGACATCCTGAGTGGGAGAAAACCTGCCTGACATTGCCCAGGACACTCCCAGCCAGAGCAAGTGGCCACGCCTCCTGGGACACCGTCAGCTTCATCAGCACAGGTGGAGTGAATGAATGAATGAATACAGGAGGCTATTCCTTGCATGCAAGTCTCCCCCATCCCCACTGAGGCCCTGGGGACAAGCCAGCCTGGGAAGCTTGCGTTTCATTCCCTGAACCTTCACAGAACAGCTACTTTGTGCCCGGCTCTGCATCCCAGGGCTGTGGGGACAAAGGCAGGGGGTAGACAAGGTCCTGCCCTTGGAGGCTGGCCGGTCAGGAGCCCAGCAATGTGCTCCTCACAGAGATGCAGCACGCAGAGGCTGCACGGGGCACACAGGGTGGGGCAGGGAGCACGGAGCAGGGGCTCCTCCCAACAAAACCGCCCGGAAGGGTTTCTGCAAGGAAGTGACATTCAAGCCAGGATTTGATGGCGGAGGGAACGGGCCAGGCCCAGCTCTAGATGAAAGTAGCAGGTGCAGGGAGTCACGGGTGCAAAAGCCCCATGGGGGGAACACGCTGGGTGTGTCGAGGAACGGAAAGGAGGCTAAGTCATGGGGCCTCTGCCTCCCCTATGTCATGCCCTGCTCCTGGGAACCCCAGCTCCTCACCGCACAGAGCCCGCCCTTCCTCCCCCACCTTAGGCACCGTCATCAAACTGCTCATCTTTGTAGCGCACTGGGCTGGATGTCTCTGTCCCCATGCTAAGCCAGGCAGAGACTCAGAAAGTGTTTGTTGACTGACTTGCTGAGCAATTGTCAAAGGCCAGCCTCCGTGGGTTTGAATGCACAGACAGCAGAGAGCAGAGTGGGGGCATCATGGAGGCAGCATCTCGAGGTGAGGCAGACTCCCAGGGGGACTGGACAGGCACTGGCGAGTGCCCACCGCAGCCTGGTGTGACAGGAGGGGCAGCAGCTGGAGCCCTCTGGGGTTGCTGAGAAAGAGGCGGGCCCTCACCACACCTGGAGGTGGCTGCGGATCTCAGCCGAGAGCCCTATACTGGGTTGAAGGGTGTCCCGCAAAGTTCACATAGACCTAGAACCTCAGACTGTGACCTTATTTACAAACAGGATCCTGTAGATGTCGTTTGTTAAGATGAAGTCACACGGGAGTGGGGTGGGCCCTAAACCCAGCAGGACTGGCGGCCTTGGCAGGAGAGGGAAACACAGATTCAGGGGCACGACGACCCTGCAAGGGCGGAGATGCATGCGGAGGGTGCAGCTACCACGGGGAATGCCACCAACTGCCAGCAGCCGCGGGAACGCGGGAGAGGCTCCCTTGCAGCCTTGAGGACACCAGGGTTCAGGACGCCTGGCCTCCAGACCTGAAGCGAGTACACCTCTGCTGTCTGAAGCCACCCAGTCTGTGGAACCTCCTCACGGCAGTCACGGGGAATCACACGACCCTCCATGCCACTGTACCCGGATTCCAAGAAAAGGTGGCCGGACATCAAGACCAAACAGCCTGCTCTCGGGGGAATGCCAGGTGGGCTCTGCCCACCCCGGCCCTTCGCTGTGGCCAGGCTGGAGCTGGGCCTCATGGAGGGGAGGAGAGGGGGTCTCAGGCTCCGAGCCCCAGCGCAGGCAGGGTGCGGGATCACTTCCCGTCCTGCCTTCTTCCTGAGAAAACAGGGTTGCTCTGAGCACAGCCGTTTGGAACACAGGGAGGAAAAGGGAAGCGCCTGCGGCCCGTTAGTCACAGTTTCCGCCACCGCCAGTTGGCCAGAGGGCCACAGCCCTGCCCCTGCCAGTGCCCACAGGGCCCATGGGGATGACAGCTCTGCAGCCCTGCACCCATCCTGGGCCTGGCCCCAGCCCTGCCCCGAACCCAGAGCCTCTCCCAGGAGAGCTGGAGCCTGTGGTGACCTGAGAAAGTGGTGGCATGTGGGTTCTGCAGCTGTGGCCAGGGGCTCCCCCTGCTTCCCGAATCTATTTTGAGCAGACAGAAGCTCAGGAGAGACTGACTGGATGCCTGAGCTGCCCCAGTGCTGGCTGGGACGTGGGAGACGCTCAGAGCCACACAGGGAACAGGGGTCTTCTGTCGGCCTGGCAGTGGCGCCCACCATCCTGGATTGTAAGTCTCTCTGGCAGGGAGGGGCCTCTGAGGCCTGGCAGTGGACGGGGATGGTGCCAACACCACAAGGCTGGGTCTCAGCAGGAGTCCCAGGAGTTACGGCTAATCCCGCCTCACGTGGTCCGGCACTGTGGGATTAGGCGGTGTGTGTGGAGTAGGAGATGCTGGTGATGCCGTAAATCATCGCGACTGATGTTTATTAGGTACCTACTACGTGCCAAGCGGTTTCCGGCATTCATTTATTGCATCTACACAGCTGCTCTGCAAATCAGAGCATGCCACCACCTGCTACAAACCCTCCAACACCTGCATATGACCCTCAAGTCCTGCCCGCCATCCAAATGGCCCTGTGTGACCCAGCGCTGGACCCCGCCTGCCTCTCCAAGCTGCTGCCCCCCCTCACTCACGGCGTGTGCTACAAACATGCTGCCCTCCCTGCTCGAACACCCCAGCCACAGGGCCTTTGCACTGGCTGTTCCTCTCTCTGCCTGGACACCCACCCGCAGATATCTGCACAACTCACGTCCTCGCCTCCTTCAGGCCTCAGCTCAGACATCAGAGCGGTCTTCCCTGACCACCCCATCATTAGCTCACCCCTCCTGCCCTCACCATCAACCAGTTTCTACAACCTCCTCTCACAGCATCTGCAGACCCCATTTTGAAACTGAATGTATGAACCTGTTTCTTGCACTAGCCCCAGGCACCTCAAGAGCTGGGATCTTTGTTCTCCACCATATTCCCACCATACCTGGAACAGCGTCTGGCACAGAACAGGCGCTCTGTAACTGTCTTTAGATGAATGAATCTGATAGAGACAACGGCTCAGAGAGGCAAGACTCTTGCCCAAGGCCACACAACTCATGCGTTGAGGAGCCCAGATGTGAACGCAGGCCAGGTTCAAGTATGTCCCAGCTGGACCATCTCTGCAGGCCTGTGCAGCCTCAGGTAGAAGAGATAACGGCAGAAAGCAAGGCGGGGCCAGGCCAGGGCCGCGCGGACAGAGACTGAGAAACGCGGATGCTGGGCCCCAGGGGCCTGCATTCAGATGGGAGAAAAGGGTAACCCTCGGCCACGGGGAGCGGGAGGGAAACCTCAGAGAAGACACTGAGTCCAAGTGTTACATAACTCCGGGACATGCCCCGCCCGGCCGGCTGGCCGCCGGATCTTGCTTCCTGCTGACGTCACCTGCGGCCACACTCGGGCCAGGCTTGGTGCAAGGCGGGAGAGGACACCCAGTGACCCTCTGCTTCTCCACTCCTTCCTTCGCTGGCCAAGGGTGACATGCCTTCCTGTACTCCAGACAGGGCTGGGCCAGCAGCCAGAGGTGGCTGTTACTGCCTTAGGATTCACTGGGACATGCCTCCTCCCTGGGACCAAAAGGCACAGGGGAGGGGCATGAGGTGGAGGTCACCGGGTTCAGTGGCGCCTCTCCCGTTGAGGCCCACTTGCATACTGCAGTGACGGGAAGCTCACCACTGCACCAAGAACAGTGGCCCAGGCTGAACCCCACTTCCTGCTCTTTCTCTGCAGCCCTCAATATGAGGGCGCTCCTTTGAGGTTGGCCAGGAGCGAGAACCCCGCGCTCCCGAATGGCTCATTCTCGTCTGGGTCTCTATCTGGTCTCAGGGTCCCCTCCTGCCCATGCCTCCAGAGTCTTCAGAGTCAGGGGAGAGAAGGGCCACCTTCTTTATTGGCTTTGCCTGTGTCACTCGGACAAGAATCACTTTCATCCACACTAGGACGACCCACCTTGAGTCCAGCCCTGCACGGGGGCTGCGTCTCAGCTCAGAATCCTTCGATGCGACCCCTACTCCTTCCACAGTCCAGTAAGGAAGTGCCGGCTCCTCAGCCCAGCAGGAAAACTCCATCTCTGTTTCTGCCCTCAGGGGATACAGCAAGTGCTCAATACAGTCTTGCTGAATGGACATTGAGGATAACACCGGACGCTTATCGAGGGCTGACCAAGGACCAGGCACCACCCTTTACACAAAAAAATCATGCTTGTTCTTCAGCAGCCCCATTTTACAGAGGTGGAAACTGAGGTGCAGAGAGGTGAAGCCCCATATCCTTGGACCCCCGTCGCTAAGCGGCAGAGCTGCGGTGTGAAGCCACCAGCTCCAAAGCCCGGCTCTGTACCATCCTTCTGGAATGCCTCTTTGAATGAATGGATGGATGGATGAATGAGTGAATGAGTCATGAGAGCGCCACCACCAGCACTGTCGCAGTGCTCACTAGCAGAGCACCTGGGGCCTACGAGGCCGCGTTCTAAGCACTCTACCGGCAGCCACTCACTGCATTCCCACAGCAGCCCTTTGAAGTGGGTTCCATTATTGCCCCCATTTCACAGATGGGGAAACCGAGGCACAGAGCACACAGGTCACTTGCCCAAGGCCTCACACAGCTAGGAGGTGGCAGAGCCTACATTCAAACTCAGGTCTCCGGGACCTAGTCCTGCTCCAGCATGCTTTGCCTGTGCTTGCACGCACCATTCAAGAGGGGGCCTCCGGTGGCCCTGAGAAGGGGGGAGATGGCATCAAGACAGAAGAATAACCACAGCAGAAAGAGTAACTCGGACAGCTGGCCCTCCGGAGCGTGGCCGCTCTGGCAGGCACTAAGGTCCTCACAGGAGATCACTCGTTCACTCCTCATAGGACCTCATGGAGACGAACTGTGATGCCCCTACTTTACAGATGGGGAAACTGAGGCTGAGAAGGCTGAATCCACTGCCCAAGGTCACACGGGTGCCCGAATCCACAGGCTGGGCCTTGACCCCAGTCTCATCCTGGACCTAATGGCATGGTCCACCACTCTCTCAGGTTCTGGGGTCTCTGGGGGTGCAGTGGGGCCACATCCTGCAGAAGCCTGGAAAGCCAGGCCGGGGGGCAGCGGGCTGCAGGGGCGGAGACACCCGTGGTCACTGAGAGTGAGCCCTGGGGTGAGGCGAGGGGGACAGGGGTAGGAGGTGCCGAAGGGAGAGGCACCCGGGTGGGAGAGGGAGGGAGGGGAAGGCTGGGGAGAGCAGGAGGCCCTTTCTGTGCCTCAGGAGATGCTCTGAGCCAAACCTCTGCCCCGGGTCATCCCGACGGACCACCCCACAGACCCGACGTGGGTGACAGAGCCAGTGGCCACAACATGCCCCGGCCCAGGCCCCCTCTGTGCCCCCAAGCTGCTCTGGGCCTGGGCCCTCTTTGCCATAAGGGACCTCAGCTGGTGTTAGGGACAAGGTCCCCACATTCAGCTGGACGCTGCGCCTTCCTCCACACGCAACCAGGAGGCCTGGAGAGGAAGAGGGCGCTGCCTGACTGCCCTGAGCTCTGGGGACAAATCCCAGGGGCCGCTGTGGAGGGCACGCAGGGCACTGTTTAACTGGAAGTGACGGGGAGGGACCTCCCTGAGGACAGAGGGTGGATCTCAGCCCTGACCACAGGGCCATGGGACAGTGCCCCCTCGGTCCCGGGGCCACCAGTGGCCGTGCGCACATATGACGCACTAAGAACCCACTCGTGAGGGTGAAAAGAAGGACCTTCAATCTGCACAGTTCTCGGGCAGAGTTCAAACGGGGCGAGGCTATACCTGGCCCTCCCACTTCATGCTGTGTGACCTCACAGCCTGCTCACCCTCTCTGAGCCTTGGAAGGTTGCATGGAGGAGTAATTCAGCATGGCCTGCCTGGAACACGCTGCACACACTTTACACCCAGGCACAAGGGGCAATGTCATGGTTGGGGGTGCGGGGGTCAATCCCGGGGGCGAGGAGCTTTGCAACCCCTCCCTCGTGCTTCTGTATCGATGGGGAAACATGCGCCTAGTGATGAAGAGCGTCAGTGCTGATCTCACAGCTATGGGTTCAAATCCCAATTCAGTTGCATATGAGCCTGGCTAAGCCTCAGTTTCCCCAGCTCTAAAATGGGGACAATACTTGGCAAGTGCGTCAAAGAGGGAGACAGCAGGGAGGAAGGGAAGAAGAGAGGGAGAGAAGGAGGGAGGGAGAGAAGGAAGGAGAGAAGGAGGGAGGGAAAGCAGCAGAGGCCTCCCCACAAATGCTCCTCAATTCCCAGAAACAGCAGTCGAAGAAGCGACTGCTCCTCGGAGGCCATTTACACGCCCGGTGAGGCCAGCCTGAGCCTCTGCGCTCCTGGGGGAGGGGGATCCCAGCCTCCAGGCCTGACTCAAGCCCTCCAGGACACAGGGTTGAGCGGTCCACTCTCCACACCCCAGACCTGTCCTTCCCCCCCCACATGGCAGCCCTAAAGCTGTGAGGTCAAATGGGGTGGGGGAGCCGCTTGCTCGGGGACCATCTGCCTCCGGGTCCTCATTCCAACGCGCTGACAGCCCGAATTCCTGGCTGAGTCAGTCTGGTCCAGCGCGCTCCTTCCCCCACGCCCTGAGCCGGGACAGAGGGCCTCCAGAGGTGTCTGTCTGAGCAGAGCGGGTGGTGGAGGGCGGCCTGGTCTGTCTCGTCTCCCAGAGGGACACTCACAGCAGCATCGTCACCTGCAGCCATCTCGGGGCACTCCCGGGATTGAACCCCGAGAAGCTGAGTCCTAATGAGGTGGCATAACAGCCCCTCCCGGCCCATGCCTCCCAGGATGCAGAGATGTCTCCTGGGCGGTCCGGGCTCCTCTCCCAGGCCCCAGGAAGCATGGCACGGCTGGGACTCACCATCTTCAGCTTGTGCTGCTGCAAGATCTCATCCAGGTTCTGCCTCTTCTTGTAGTTGAAGTAGAAGTTCTTACACTGCGACACGGTCTTGGAGCCCACCATCCGGGCGATGGCCGACCAGTTTCGGCCGTGTTCCAGGAGGCCTGTCGCGGGAGAGGAGGGTGGTGAGGGACGGCCAGCAGGCAGGGGGGCCTGCGTCCATGGCCTGGGGGGCAAATGGGGCCTGGAGCAGAAACCCGGCCTGAGGCTCCCTGCTCAGGCCCAGTTCCTCTGGAAGAAGAGACAGTGATGGACCGGTGTCCCCTGGCGGGGAGATATCAGAGGTGGCAGGGCTGGCCTCTGGGGTCTGGTTTCTCAGTCACTTGACTCCAGGCCAGGATGCATGGGCAAGGCCTGGGCTGGAGGAGCCAAGAGTGACAGGTGAAGCCCCACCGAGGCCACCGTGCAGGAGGCTGGGGCCAGAGGGCTGTGAATGTCCGGAACGCACAGCCCCTGCCCAGGCCCCACCTCTCCTCCTCCCCGCCGCTGAGCGGGAGGGCCCAGCCGCCGTGACCCAGCCCTGACACTCGCTCACAGCTGCAGGCGAGGCCTCGGGAGACGGGCTGTTTTCCGGCCACACCGGCCCAGAGAAAGGAGGGGATGTGATGCGAAGGCGATGGGAGGGTGGAGGTCAGGGCCGGGGTGACTGGGACCACAGCCTCTGGGCCCAGGTCGACTGGGTACCTCCAGGACCAAGCTCCCTATGGCCACCTAAAGCCCACTTGGGACTCGGGGCCCAGCAGGCCTGGCTGGGCAGCTGGAATTTGGCCCCAAACCCCAACCCACACAGCCAAGAGGTTCCCCCTGCCTCACGGGCCTCCCACTGCGGGAAGAGAGCCTCCAGCAATCAGTGGAAAAAGTTCCCTCCATCCCCAGGACTCAGGCCGGAGCTGCATGCTGCCCCCCCGGGTCTAGCTTCCAGGCCAGAAAACCAGGCTCAGCAGAAACCCGGCCCCTGCTGCACTGGCTGCGCCCGGGAAGCCGAGCCCCGGTCCCGGCCCATCTGGCCTCGAGCTGCCGAACACACAGGCACAGGCGCCGGCCAGCAGCTCTATATTTACGCTTGTGGCTCCAGCGGCGTGACCTTGTGTGGCCCAGCCAGCCTGTGCAGGTAGGGCCTGCCCACCTTCCCAGGGCTGTGGGAGAGACAGGAAGTACTCTTGACCTCGGGGGGCCGTGCGGCAAGATGGTGCCCCTCCAGGGCAGCAGGCCCCAAGGCTGAATCGAGGAGCTGGGGACGTCACAGACTCTCTGGGCTGGAGCTACACTTGTAAGGACTTTAATGAAAGATTTCCCATCACGAAGTTTTTGACCATTTTCCTTGAATGAAATCAAGCTGCAAGCCAAGCTCCGGCTAAAATTGTACAAGGGTTGGGCAGTCGAGGGGCAGCTGTCTGTGTTGGTGTTTTCTGTCATTCATTCATTCATTCATTCATCCACACAGCCACCCATCCATCCACCCATCCATCCATGCATCCATGCACGCATGCATGTCCGGCTGCCTGCCTGCTATACACAAGGCTCTAACGCAAATAAAACAGCAGCAGCAAAAACATCAGCTCATCACCCCACGGCATGGCCAAGTGACACACAGAGTTTGCAAAGCCCTTCAAAGACTTGGTTCCCTGTCATCCTTGCTGTCATGGCTGTGACCATTTTCCCATCCCCAGGAGCGGGGGAATCTTGGTTCAGAGGGTCCTCCTAACTCACCCACGCTCAGAGGACGGGCGAAAGGGGCCACGCGGGCATGGGGCCCTGACTTCCTGCCCTCTGGGTTCTCTGGCCCCCATAGCGTGGGGGTGGCACTGACTGACAGGCCACCTGCTTGCCTGTGGCAGCCCCGGGAGCCACGTGGCCCCTCAGCCCGCTCCTCAGGGTCCCTCAAGGACAGGCGCAGAAGGGGAGGCCGGGGGGTGGGATCAAATGGCACCGGCCCCTGACCTTTCCCTCTGCCCGCGCCAGCAGCAGCTGCCACTTCCAGAACCTGGCGGATGGGGCCGTGCGTTTATTTATATTTCCCCAGCCAGGGCCAAGAGAGCCCAAGCAAACACGAGGGCCAGAGGGATCACAGGCCCGGAGCCCAGGTTGGAGAGGGTGGGAGGGGTGGGTCTCCCATCTGGGCCTTCGGGGTGGGGTGGGCATGGAGAGCCAGGGGGTGGGGGTGACGATGCTGGGGAGGTTGACATTTCCAAACTCAGTCAATAAATTAGGAGGTGGCTGGGAGCCTGGCTGGGGCTTGAGGACCCTAAGTAACTCCGGTCATGGGGGCAGTGGGAGTGGGTTGAAGGCAGAGGAGAGGGGATGGAAGTGGGGGTGGGGGAGTCACCCAGCCCTTCCTGAAAACATGCACCTCCCAAAGGAGCGCTGGCAGAGTCACCCGGGCACCTGGCCAGAGCTCGAGGCAGTCTCGGCTGGCCCTGCTGCTCTCCGGCCTCAGTTTCCTTAACTGCCACGTGAGGGGCCAGAGTGGGTGTCCCATTAGCACCGGCCAGGGCCTCAGGGTAGGGGCGGGCTGGCACTGGCTTCCTCTGGTTCCTGTTGTGGGAAGCCCAGGCAGGGGGTGTTGAGCACAGGGAGAAGGACTTTCCAGCCCTCTGGGTCCTGGAGCCCACCCTGCCAGACCCAGCTTGAAGCTCCCGGCCACCTGGAGACCCCCTGTGCACACACCATCACAGACCCACGCCTTCCCAGGTACAGATCCAGCTCCTACCCCTGCTTCCAGGACAGCCTCAGCCCAGCAGGGAGAGAGAGGAGGGGGCACCGGGGAAAGGGTGGGCTGGGACCCCCATCCACTCCAGGGGCCAGGAACTCTGACTCCCCAGCTGCCCAGCTGCCCAGCTGCCCAGCCTCAAATCCCTGACAGCCACGTCTCGGTACCTGTCCCTGCACCACAGCCCCCCATCCCCTCCCCGGGGCCACTCACTCACATCCTCTCATCTGCGTCTCCCCCTCGGCCAAGTTTTCCGGAAACATAGGGCTGGGAAGATGCCCCGGGGAGCGGGCCCAGGGAAGTGGACCGGCAGGCTGGGCAGCCGCGGCCGGCTCTGTGAGGCTCCTGGCTGGCGTCTGCTGGCGGCTCAGCTCTGCCTCACATCCTTCTCCGTCCCACGGTGAGGGAGGGAGGGAGGGAGCGAGGGAGGGAGGGAGGGAGCGAGGGAGGGAGGGACAAGGGCGGGTGGAGGCTGGCTGGAGAGGGGCGGGAGGAAGCTCCGTGAAAGCCTGCCAGCCTGTGGTGGCCCGAGGCTCCTCCAGCGGCCGCTGCCACCTCTGATGCCGTCCCCAAGCCGCTGTGGGTGCACAAGGTGCCCTTCCCCGAGGGTGGTAGGTGGCGGGAAGTTGTCACTGGTGCGTTTGGAGCACCCCTGGGCCAGGCAGCACTGGGGCACAGCGTGCACAGTTCCTCTGGCACCAACGTGTCCAGCACAGCAGCAGTACCAGCCAGAAGCCCACAGACCCCCGGGCTGGGCAAAACCCAAGGACCCAGACCCAGCAGGGCAGCCGTGTCCCCTGCAGCCAAGCTCAGCGCTGATCTTCCTGTTGCCTGACCAAGCGAGACGCAGCAGGACTGAATGTGACCTCCAGACGGAGGCTCGAGGCGGGCGGGCGGGCGGGCGGGCGGGCGGGGGAGCGTTGCAGAGGCCCAGGTTCAGAAGGGGCGGGCCCACTTGGCACTGGCTCCCCTCCCTCTCTCCCCATCCGCGGCGGTGGCGGCGTCAGCAGTGGTAAGAACAGATGAGGGTTCCAGAAAAACAGAGCTTCTCCACCCCCGGCAGACGGGAGCAGCTTCTTCCGCCGTCACCCCCCTGTCCTCCCCCCCGTCCCCCCACCCTCTGAGCTAGCTCCACCTGAGCTCTGCCCCCTGCCTGGCCTGATGCTGCCAAGGCCGACCGAGCCCTCCGTGAGGGGCTGTGGGTGGGCAGGGCTGGCCTCCAATTCTAGGGGGAGCCTCCGTGGGGGACTGTGGGTGGGCAGGTATGGCCCCGAATTCTGGGGGGAGCCTCTGTGGGGGACTGTGGGCAGGTGTGGCCTCGAATTCTCGGGGGAGCCTCTGTGGTGGGCTGGGTGGGCAGGGCTGGCCTCGCTGTCCAGGACCCTGGGATTTGAGGAGTGTCTTCAGGGAGCACACAAGACCTTCAGTCATTTAGGGGAGGGGGAAGGGCTTGGGGATTTGGGGTCCCCAAGGGGTCCTCTGCTGCTGGAGAGTCTTGGGAACACAGCTGCCTCTTTGGTCCTCCTCTGTGAAGGAACACTTTCAGAAATGCCCAGGAACCTCCCAGGAGGTTGAAAGTTAACTGAGCTGAACTTTGGAGCCTAGATTCGGGTCACGACCGACTTCCCTGACTCTGGGATCATTCACCTGCTTTTCCGATTAACCCCCAGCCCTTCCATTCTGCCCCTGAAAACCTGGGGAGCAGAAGGCGCCTCGAATGTCCCTACACCCCCAGCCCTCGTCCTGGGGCACGACAGCAGGGGAGGGCAACAAATCTGAACCCTGGCATCAGGGACCCAGGCCTCTCCCTGAGTCCTGCCCTCTACCCTCTGCAGGGGGGGGCCTCAGCGTGCTCTTAAGGATGCCAACCCCCTCCGCCCCACACACACACACATCGTTCCTCTGCTTAAAATCTTCCCGTGACCACCAGAAGCTGCTGGAATGAAATCCAAAGGCCCTGGCACGGCCCAGGAGACTCTTACGGAGCTGGCTCCGTGCACTCTCCCAGCCTCTCCCTGGGTCATTCGCTGGTGCCCCAGGGGCTCTGCACCAGCTGCTCTGGCTGCCTCCATGGCTTCCTCACAGATGTGCCTCGGTCCTCCCTCTGGTCTTGGCTCACGTGACAGCTCCTCAGAGAAGCCTTCCTTGCCCACCTCTCCAAAGTGAGCCCCCCAGTTACCCCTCCATCCCAGAGTTTCATCATCTCCACAGCTGTCACTGCCTCTGAAATTAGCGTCTTCGTTCCACTGCATTCATCAGTAGGTGTCTGGGACCTGCTGGGCACCCTGGGCATCTTTGCTACCTGTCTGGGTCCCCCGTAAGGAGCTTGCAAAGGAAGAGGGGGCTGTGGGTTTAGTTGTGCAGAGGGCCCCAACCCTCCCAAAAGAGGCTGGG